TTTGTGACTCTGGTCTGTGAAAGACACTATATAAATAAAGATTACTTAAGAACTCAAAGAACTCTTTTAGGGTCTTCTACTTGCTAGGGCTGTAATGATACGCCTTACTTACTATACAACACATATGCATGGAACCAATACAATAAATACTGTCACATCAATATTCCAATTCAATGGATATGATGAGCATCATACAAATTCACAGCCCAGTTTCCAACTATCCTGTCAGTCAATCTGAAATTCACTGGCTGTTCAAAAGTGCAAAATCAAAACTTACAAACTGCAGTAAAGCAATACTTCACACACTTTAAATTAGCTTACATTAAAACTCTGACTTAAATAGATTAATAGGTAAGCAGGCACTATTTCGAACAAATATTCAAGTGTGTATCCTTGAATGATGTACACTGCGCTAAAAGTAATATTGCAGTACCTGCTGGCCATATCAATATTGTTGCTAACGATATAACAACAATATATCACGATACAACACATTGTTACAGCTCCACTTCTTGCATACTATTGCATGTTATTTCTAAATGGTAAAACAAAATACAATATGTTGATGTATGGTTGGCATCTTTACCTAAAACAAATTCATTATTATAATTTTTTTTTTACCATTCAGTACATTGGTCAAAATAGCTTTTTTATCTCCACATAAAAAAACAAGAGGCCCATGACACAACCCAGCATTTATGGGGGAGTGAACGCTATAAGGGGGTAATAACAGCTGCAGCATTGGCAGTCATCTGTGTTATGGAGTGACACTAGAAAGCCATAATACAAGGACAAATACCGGAAAGACTGCACCTAATGGATGGGAGGGCTGTTAGTGTTTTGCTGGCTGTGCACTGAGTGGGTATAAGCTCGCGGTTGGCCATATTTGGTGAAACAGTGGGGTCAATGATGGTGATAATGGGGAGGTAAGTACTGTATTGGGGTTAATACTTGCAGGCCTGCCAAGAGATTACAGCCTTGTTTAAAACAGAGCAGCACATGGGGAAATAGTGCACTTCCCTAACAGCCAAAAGGACATCATGAAGGGATTATCTTCATTATCAAATATAATGTCAGTCAAGATGAGCATGTACCGTATCATAGGACGTTGGATGTGGAAAAATATTATATGAAGACTTTAAAGAGCCACGACTTTTTGACCATAGTTCACATTAGGGCTGGATGAATCTGGGGGGGGGGGGGGGACTGGGACAATGCACAAATAGTAGGAATGGAAGAACATAAATACAAAAGATGGGTACGAAAGGCAATTGAAATCAGGAAGAGGGGTACCATCAACAGAGATGAGGGGTTTTTCATCTTGGGACTCACTTCTTCAATGACCACAGCACAACAGAAGGCGTGGCCAGTCTGGCCGCATCCGGTAACAATATCTGAAAAGATGCACGTCACGCCATCACGTGTCACCTCTGACGAAGGCAGTAATTAAGCAGTACTTCTTTACATTTTTGTCTTATTAAGATAAACCTTCTAAGCATTAAACATTAGAAGACATACTTAACTTTTTACATGATAATGTGAGGTGTTTCCGTAGGGCTTGGTGATCCATGAAAATATATTATCACATTTTTGTCATCATGATGATTTGATGTGTTATACTCCCTCACAGGAAGGGGCAAACACTTCAGCCCCATGATTGGTGTCTCAATAATCGAGATTGAGTAAAGTTTAGTGTTTTTGGCACAACCCTAAAGTTTAAAAGAATTTTAGGAAAGAGTCACCCTCTCCACTTTTTGAAGAAATGCAAATGCGAAACGCTCTACCTGCTCCAGAGAGGGAACGCCTACTAAAACGTGTGCGAGAGACACGCACAAGCACAATCCTCCTCGTGCACTCTGTTTATAAGTCACTGTCTGCATCGCTCACACAAGCTCACTTTCCCAGAAGATTTGTACTTTTTCCACTATGTGAGATAATCTGTAGAAACTTTGGGACTGAAGCATCAGTGGGAAGCCCAAACAGGACTTTCAGCGCACGCCATCGTGTGAAGGAATCTCCCCAAAACACTTTGGTTTTGTTTAACGAGGCCGTACGACAGCCTTTCGTCACATATCACCAGAATTATTGACAATTAGTGGGACAAACACTCTTCACCTGGAAAAGGAAAATCCTTCTAAACAACTTTAAGCACAAACAACACACCCAAAAATAGAATCAATGAATCCTGTATCCTTTTCAGACCCTAAAGAAAGATTGACACTATTACAGTAATTGACATGTTTACTGTAATGTTATGACGCCTTAGAAATCACAAATACCTGGCTTACCTTACCTTACTTTTACTGAAATAATAGCTTCACTTCCAATAAAGGTTTAAGCCATCAGAATCTGGGTTACACGTTCTGCCTCCCAAATGAGACCATCTGTTGATAAGTATTTATCTACACATTTCATGAAGCTGCATGGTTGTCTATCCAGGTCAGGAACAATGTGACCGCTACATGTGCTGGGCTCTAGTGCAGATGAGAAAATCAATACTTGGTTACTGCTGTATTGAATTGATTGTTCTTATGGCTTTGCTTTTTGAGTATTTACAATAACACTATTATTGGGTTAGGGTTATATAGGTTATATGTTTCAAGTGGTCTAAATGTTTTTGATGGGGTCTGTATGGTACTTTTCAGTTTGTGTTGCATTGAAGACAACTAAAGCAAGACATTCCTAGACTTACTACTACAAGTTACAAGTAGTTAGTAACAATCATATTATTAATCACAATCACATGTGTTTTCTTGTCTGTATGATATTGTTCTTGTTGACTAATAACTGAAGACTAATTTTTATTAGAAAACTAAAGTTGACTAATAACTGCGACTTCATCTGATTATCAAAAAAATTGCTAGTTACAGCCCCAGTTAAGTCTCCTCACTGCAACAATTGTAGATTTCTGAGCTGTTAACATAACTGTAATTACATACTGGGATTTCCCAAGTTAAGTTAAGTTATAACTTAGCACCTGGGACCCATCTCCAGTGTTGATTCTTGGCTTGGGCAGGATTACCAGAGAGGATTTTAATGTAAAGAGATGTTAGATGTTAGCTTTTCATTCAAAACAATCTCAATGGTGACAAAGCAGGGGACAAACTTTATCAGATCTCACCCCAGGTCCAGGACATAACTTTTTAGATGAATTATACGTAATAATTAGAGCTGATAGTCTTGGGTCGTGGTCGTAACTCCATTAATCAGCAAATATATCCAGTCAGCCGAAATATGGCCTCCTTCAGTGTGGGCGCGCCGAGGTTTCTCATTTTCTCCCGCTGGGTTTTTAGAGTTTTTTGCAGGAGGGTCTGAGGACAGTGTTGATGATCCAGGATGTGCTTGAATTGAAATATAGGCTCTAATAGTCGACCAAAGGATTTGAAACGGAAAAGGAAAAGATATGAAGCAAAAAATATTTTAAGGCAGAGACACTTTCATTTGCATTAATACCGTCATTGTTGTCCAGTGGTTTTTGTGGATCAGCTTTGGTCACAATACATAATTTTGATAAACAATTAATCACATATATTAAAAATACATAATACCACTGACACAAAGCAGAATTCACCAGAGGAATGTTTAAATTTCATTTTTAAGTATCCAAGAAAATAACCAAGCTAGATCAATCATATTTGGACATATTAAACCTAAAACAGCTAAAACTAAAGGCTCAAAGTACATTGTTTTATCCATCGAATATTGAACGATAATTCTATATGTTGATGGTCACGCCCCGTTTTTAGTCTAACTGATCTACCTTTAGTCGACCAAGCATTTCTTTGCCCGACTACAACCCTAAAAAGAATAATAATAATATCAATAATAACACACCAATGTATTTTTCCCTTTGAATGACTTTTTATGGCACTGAATACTATACTACACTGACTAAATTAGTATAATAACGTGTCCTAACGGAGCAGATCAGCCTATTATAAAAATCCATTCATAGAAGGATTCTCGAGGTCCAAAAATGTGAACGAATACACGCAGTCCACCATCATAACACAGCAGAGCATGGCACGCGGCTGGCATTACGGCTGTGATTGGATGACAGCCGTAAATCTTTCTCTAAATCCCCCCCAGGCTCAAGCTGTGATCTGGACCACAGATCGTTGTCAGTGGATGCGGAGAACACAGGTTCGGCACACGACTGATACTGATTCTGTCCAGGCCTGTCTGACAGAGCCACCGCGGATAACACGACTTTCCACTGCCCCGGGGGAACTGGACCGATGGACCCATGAACCAGACGCCATGGTAGGTAGGCCGAAAGTTAGCGCCAATGTGCCTTTTTTCAATGAATGCAAGTTTAAGTCAAATATAAAGTGTACAGAGTATGTAAAGAGTCTTAACTTACAGCATAGTCCGCGGTGAATGCGTGGTTCACTTGACTCAAACGATAAAATAGTAAAATAACCATGTTGGATTAACGCGCACAGCATCATGGGAACCTGTTTACCTGCACGATGATGATGGGGGGAAAGCGCTCTAATGTATGCTTATTATTTTGTTTTAAGTTGATCACAATACAAGCAATAAAACCTGAATTATTTAAAAAGGGTCTGATACAACTATTTATGTCTTATTATTTAACGGCATGGTGGAATTTGTTTGGAAAGTTTATGTCACAAATTACACACACAAAAATAATTAAAATCAAGATAAAGTCTCTCCTCAAACTAAAATATTGAAAACATTCACACACCTGGGTCTGTAAATGCTTTGTAGTCAGTTGTTTAGAAAGCAGTAATAACATGTTATTTGGTTTTGTTCATTAATTTCACTAATGGGCTCTGGACAAAATGCCAAATTAACACACAGAAAGAGAACCATTTTGAGAGGCGGTGCTAAATGGTCACATTAAGGCTTGTATTGTGTTCAATGCAGTTTGCACATTTGATTCACTTATGTTTATCATCACTAGACTCATTACAGTCTTTTGTCATTGGCAGGTCGTGGTTTGAGGCTGCAGGTGTGTGGTGTGAGGAGGACTCATGCCTCTCGTGAAGAGAAACATTGCTCCTCGGCACTTGTGCCACGGCACTGTACCGGATGGCATCAGTAACGAGCTGGAGTGTGTCACCAATAACACACTGTCCGCCATCATCCGCCAGCTCAGCAGCCTCAGTAAGAATACACTGGGAATAATTCACTATTCATGCACACAGTAATTATGTGGCCTGTAATCTGTTTGTGACTTTCAACGTCATATTTCATGTATTATTTTGAGAACGATTTTTTTTTTAATAGACAGGACATTTTGTTTTGGAATTGTCAAGTGTTATTGCAAGGGCCCTCATTTTGTTCAACCTATGTGCCGTGGCACGTTATTGTGTCTTGAGATGTTGCTTGGTGTGCCTTTTGAAATTATCCAATATCACCTCACCTCGATATTACTGATGAGAATGACTTCATAAATAAACATTGCAGAGATCCATTTTTGTATCAGTTTAATCTGGGGGTGTGCCATATGACTGTCCTCAATGACATTCAGTAACATTCCGTATTTGTGCTTTAATTTTACTCAATAGATTTTGGCATCATGCTGTTGGATTATGAATGGATGAACCTAAATTATCTTTTCAATTAAATATGCCCAACATCTGTAACAGATGTATTGTCATTTTCAAATTCATTGAAAATAACAGCTGGCCTTGTGTTGTCATGTAAAACTACAAACTACAAAACCATACCAATAATTAATAGTTACGTGTGTCTTATTTGACAAACATGACCTGAAATACGTAACTTTATTAATTAAACTACAATAAATAAAATGAGATCAACGGGAGGCAGTAAATCTACGAAGAACATTTGATCAAATGCCAGAGTGAAGGGTAGTGAGAATACTATTTTTGGAACCTGATACACTGGACATCTGCCCCATACATAGGGATTAGAGTGGGTGGGATTTAGTGAAGTTGGAGCTTACCGTAAAGCTCTGTACCATCAACATGATAAAGCATGGCAAAAGTGGGTCCTCCTGGTAAATGTTTGATGTGTAAAACCGCACAAATAACTTGTGTGTGGGGTCAATTGTGGAATGTGCTGTAAATTATTGGCAGTTACATAATCCCACTATTCCTTACTAGTGTTGTCACCAGTCAATTAGAAAAACACTATATTTCACTTTTTTTTTTTACTCATTTGTGTTTTTCCTCAAAGGTAAACATGCTGAAAACGTGTTTGGGGAACTCTTCAATGAGGCCAATACATTTTACGGGCGTGCGAACTCTCTGCAGGACCGCATCGATCGCTTAGCCATCAAAGTCACTCAGCTGGATTCAAGCATTGAAGAGGGTAAGGGTTTGTTTTTTATACACCCTTTTGGGGCCAAAACAAAATTTATTGCAATTCTTCTTCTCTGCCTTTAGTCTCTCTTCAGGACATAAATATGAGGAAAGCCTTCAAAAGTTCCACTGTTCAGGATCAGCAGGTTCTATCCAAAGGCAGCACTCCCACTTCTGTGACCGACATGTACAACACTGCTGACAAAGCCCCTGCTCTGAGTGCACTGTCTGCTTACAGGTCTGTTTGGCTGGACTTTCTCATAACTCGAATCACACTAAACATGAACTAACAATCATATGATGTCATGTGCTTTCAATAATAGAGAAGACTCGACAGACGCAATGAAGTTTTACTCAGACCCATCTTACTTTTTTGACTTGTGGAAGGAGAAGATGTTGCAAGATACAGAGGAGAAGAGAAAGGAAAGGAGACGGCAAAGGGTGAGTGGAATTTGGATATGTAATGATTAACACAGATGCTAAATCGTTTGTTGTTGTAGCTAAAAAAGAACATCAAGCGGTAACTTAACATTTTTACAGGAACAAAAACGCTGCGTGGACAATAATACAATTCAGCGCGAGGTGAAAAAAGTGAGAAAGGCCCGAAATCGCAGACAGGAATGGAATGTGATGGCGTTTGATAAAGAGCTTCGGCCTGACCACCGCCATCCACAAAGTCTGCATCGAGGGCTGAGCTCTGAGGGCTCTCTCTCTCCAGATGGCAGGTTTGTATCAAATATTTTATTATGATTATGGCACAGTTGATTATTCAAAAAAGAAACCCTCAATGACATCAGGAATAATACTGTGGTAGATAACGGGTCAAGTCAAAACTATGAGATAGTTAAGTTTAGGCCATGCTATGGAACAATGCAGATGAATTAAACATTTAATTTCAGATCCAAGTAGGGGACAGATAGCCTGACTCTCGCCAGACTTTAGTAGTTTTGCCATGCTCCACTGAGGCGCAGCAAACTACAAGGGTCTGGCGAGAGTCAGGCTATGGGACAGATGCTTCAATATAAAAGTAACATTGTACATCTGGATGATTCTCCTAACTACTGACTGGTCCAGTGTCCTGTGATGCACCGCACATGCTCACTGTTAAAGTGAAGAACACATGTGTTCTTATTACAAATGTTTGTTTTAAAATTGTTGTATGAAGATATTTTCATTCTTCACCACGATCAAACAACTGTAAAATCTGTAAATATGTATTTTATACAATATTCATCCTGGATAGTCTTGCTGATTTTTCAGAATCTCAGAGTTTTTCAGAGCCATTGCCGCATGAATTTTGTTTCGTTGCTGTACAAGTGTTATAGAGGTTACATTAAAAAAAAGTATATTTTGTTACACATCTGTCACACATTACTAGTTCCTAGTAATGTAAAGAATGTTACACTACTTAGTTACTTCCTAAACAAGTAGTTACACACTAGAGTCTCAAATGAGAGTCAAAAACAGCTCCCTGGTGTAAGAAAAGGTTCTGTCTGGGTTTTCACTTGAGGCTCTGTGTGTAAGCTCTGTGATAGGTTTGTTAGTAACTGTAAAGTCATTATCAAAGTACTGCTAAGCTACTTAATTATGTAGATGACACTCAGTTACATCCAACACTGTTGATATGACAAAATACAGTGCCTTGCGAAAGTTTAAAGCTGTATTTGGATACAAAAAGATTTCCCAAGCTTTAAACATCTCAAGGAGCACTGTGCAAGCAATTCTATTGAAATGGAAGGAGTATCAGACCACTGCAAATCTACCAAGACCCGGCCGTCCCTCCAAACTTTCATCTCAAACAAGGAGAAGGCTGATCAGAGATGCAGAAAAGAGGCCCATGATCACTCTGGATGAACTGCAGATAACTACAGCTGAAATGTGGCAAAATGTTGAAAGGTTCAAGGGGGCCGAATACTTTCGCAAGGCACTGTATCTTGCTTTTGTAATGAAGACTAAGCACTTTTTGCTTCTTCTGTTTATGGTCATCCTGTCGTTCTCAAATGAAAGAATGAAGAAACAAACAAATAAAAATAGTTTTCTCACATTGACCTGTTTCCTTTCAGGCCCGACCTTCCAGAATACCCAGTTCCACCTGTGCCTGTCCTTGCGGCTTGTAACTTTGCCAAGTCTTCCACTTCCACCCCGGGTGACCCGTCGCCACCTGTAGAGCATGAATACCACAGCATTGATGTGAACTACAAGAGAGGAGCCTACTCCACTGGAGATCCACCCTTCACCGAACAAATGAACGGAGCAACTCGTCCACCTGCTGAATACAAGTACGAGAACAAAAGCATTGAGGCAAAAAATATATATAAAATTTGGAAAAATATATAAAAATATATTACTGAGCACCAAACAGAACATCAAAGCAGACTAATATTAACATTAGCATGGAAAGTTTTTGGTATATTTCAATTAAAACTTATTTTTATTGGATTTTTACCACAGCACAATTTACCTTCATTTAACTAGAGTAGTCCTGCTGAGATTTCAGAATCACTCTCGCAGTCCCTTGAAAGATTCTTCTTCACTTTTGATCACTGTAGCACAATGACAAAAGCCCATTATATCAACAAGTAGATGTATTAGCGAGAAAATCAGAAATGACAGAGTAGAACAGAATTCACTGCTAACATACAATCAATCAATTAATCAAATTTTATTTATAAAGCGCTTTTCATACAAAAAATGTAACACAACGTGCTTTACAGTTTAGTTAAAAACAATCCAACCCTCCTCCCCACAGATCCCCCAAAACCACATTTATAATTATATATACAATCACATGCGTATACACACACACACACACACACACGCACGCACGCACACACAAACACACACATACACACACAAGTATAAAGTCACATCAGGTACAATAGGTAAAACAATAAAAAGAAATGGGGCTGGGAGCAGAAGCGCCATCCAAGGAGCCATCTGCACCAGGAGCAGAGACCCGGCTGCAGCCACAGGGAACGACACAGGACCCAGAGGAGAGAGTGGCCCCAGACCCAACCAGACCCAGGAGTCAGACCCCATAGGACCCAGAGGAGAGAGGAGGCCCCAGACCCCCACCGGATCCAAGAGCCAGACCCCCGAAGCCACAGCAGACCCCAGCTCCCAGTGCAGAGGGCTCCTCCAGAGGAAACACTGGGGATACTAAAACAATACAATCATACAATAGAAAGTAGAACAATAAAATGAGACACTAAAAAGAAAAATGGCAGCTGCCTAATATTGATAATAACAATAGTAAATGGGTAGACTAAAATATCTAAATAGATGTACTAAAAAGCAATAATAAATAATAAATACTAATCAAAAGCTACTCTAAAAAGGTGCGTCTTGAGCCAACTCTTAAAAATATGAACAGTCCCATTAAACCAGAAGGTAATGTTGATATGTCTCATTTTCAGGTATGGGAATAGAGTTATTTTCACTGTAGGGTTTAGTTCTGATAGTTACTTTACACAGGTGTATATATTTCATGCTTAATTTGTTTATTTAAATTGATCGGCCTGGTCTTGTTTTCTGTACAGCGCTACCCCTCCTCAGGGAGTCGGAACGCGAATCCCATCTTCACAGACAGCATTCGGGGGTCCCCCTGGTGCCCTGCCCTCGGCCCATAATGGAGTGTTACATGTGGGGCCTGGATACGCACTTCCACCTGTACCTCCCCCTCCAGGACCCCCGCCTCTGCCTCCCCCCACTGCACCCCCACGCCCTCGGGACTACAGCAAGAGTGGACGGGCTGACGCACCGCCAGTCAGAGATGCCAGAAGTGATCTCTTATCCGCAATTCGAATGGGTGAGTCAAGATTATTTTAAATTTAGTTTGCATTCATGAACATGCTTACGTTGCGTCCTTGTTTCTGATGTCATGTGATGTTTGACAGTGTAAGAACCCAGTCAACTAAAAGCTGTTTCTTTTGTCAATAGGGATACAATTGAAAAAAGTCCAGGAGCAGCAAGAACAGCAAAACAAGTTGGAGCCGGTGGGTAATGACGTGGCCACAATATTGTCCCGTCGGATTGCGGTGGAGTACAGTGACTCTGAGGAAGACTCTGAGCTGGAGGAAAACGAGTGGTCAGATTAAGCACCCGCTCTGACTCCATCTAGTGGACGCTTTGATGTACAAACGTTTACGATTGCCACCTCACTCAACATCACACCAGGGCTAATAATGACATCTTTGTAAAGACAATAACGTTAAATCTAATCTAATCCCAATTATTAGAAGTAGGAAGTTTTATGTCAAACATCACATTACAGTTGTGTTCTGCCAAATACTGCATTAGCAAGTAAATAACATGCCAGTATTGTGTGAAAACCCTCTAATTGTAAATACTTGACGACTATAAATACCACTTGTGATGTGCATTCCATGTTGTTTTTTTATTTAGATAACCCCTGCTGACATTTTTAATTAAGATTTCTGAAACCAGACCCACATCTTAATTAGGCAAATGTGCTCAAATCAATTATAGCCTTAATACATTCATTTTATTACCTTGTTTGAACCAATTATTTACACTAATTGTATAGATAATTTTTGAAGCCATATCGGACCTTTTATTACAGACATAGTCCTCAAGCTGTACAGCAGTAGTTATCTCTAACTTGCCCCTTAAGGCAGGGGCAAGTTAACCCATCTTTAGCTATGATTATTGCAGTCGTTCTCTGGAGTTGCAGTCCCAATTCTCACCAGCAGATGTCACCGTAACATCATTGGCCACAAGCCACATGTCTCTATGCGAATGTGTGATCCTTCTAACCCATTGTATGATTATAGTTTTATCAAAAATGGGACCTGCCAGAAAATCCTTCCACATTTACAATTCAATTTTTATATTAACATTGTTTTCAATTTGTTTGTTATATGTGCCCAAAATAGAGTGGGATGATGAAAAACAAGAACTTCCTTCTTCCATGTAGGCCAACAACATGTTACCTCAAACAGTTACATATGGAATCAAACATATCTACTGGGCATTTAAATGCTCTGATGAAGCAAAAGGGACAAGTTTAGAATATATGTTTACACTGTGATCAGGTGCCAGTCCTCCTTATAGTTCCAGTCCATAATGAAAAGTTTTGATATGAACTTCAAACAAATCTCACCATACTTTGGCTGCATTTAATTTTCCCTTCTCAGTCCAAATATTTATATTTTTGAATTTTCATTTTGGTTGTTTTTTTGGCACAGAATAAGGTATCTTACCTGTCCCTTGTTTATCACTTAATCTTTTGTGATGTAGCAATTTTTCCCAAAATATTCTTGCAAAATAAAACAAAGCAAGAAATGTGCTCTTAAGTTGTGCCAAAGTTAAACCAAGAAGTAAGAAGTTATGTCACTTAATGGTCCAATAATCTTTCAACATGACGTAAAACTGATTTCATGGAGAATGTTCCAAAGCAGGGTTTTAGGTTTTTATTATGTATAACCGTGCAGATTTTACACATACAGAAAAATGCATGCTGTCTGTCACTTTAATCTCGAAAATATAGCTAAAAAAACAAAATTGAAAATCAAAATACATTGAGAGAAAAATATTTTGTATAGTGTAGTATATGAAGCCATGTCTAATTTATAGATTCTTTTGTCCTCTCTCACACATACACATACAGATATGTACATAACAAATATCCAATTTCTGCTTCAAGTCAAATATACCATCTTTATGGGCAGTGCTGATGCATAATGCCAGTCTGTCATCTTACTTCCCTCAGCATTATTACTTCTCTAAAATAGATTACAGCTGGTATCTCCAGTTCCGGCCTCCATCAAGTCTAATGGACGTATAACCCACAGGCGCTCATCCTCTCTCCACATTGATTCAGTGAACTGTCCTGTTAAAGGCTAAAAAGGATTCAAAAGCTAATGCACCTGTCTGTCCATTGTTATCCTTCACAAGACCATGACCTACTAAGACCAGTGGGGTAACAAATAAATAATAATAACATTAATGTGTAGTATTTCAGGCATTAATGATAAAAGAAAGGTTTTTAAATACATTTTATTTGGCCCCGGGGAAGACCCGGAAGAAAATGGAATGGAATGGAATATTTCACTATTTTAAAATAACGCATTTATTTTGAACGCAAGACCATTTAACGTCTACAATGATCAATATTCAATGATGGTTGGTTTTGTTTGTCATTTTTAAGCTTTGTTACTTTTGAAATTAATTTGTTTGAAGATGAACCAAAACTTTAGTAGATTTACACAAAGAATGATAGTAATATGGTGTATCTAAAAGAAGCAGAAAAATAAAGTTCAAACGTAACTCAAGTGAATATCCTTTGGCTACTGGACCTTGATCCAGACTGTTCTGAGGCTGGAGTTGTGGGGTCAGGTTGCTGTTTGGAAGAAATGTGATCCCAGAGGGTGGGGCAGTCCAGAGCCTCATCACTCACTCTCCTCCTCCTGCGAGTGCCTGTCATGTTTCTGATATGAGCCATATCCAATCAGAGCCTGGATTATCAGAGCTACTCGCCTCACTCTAGAGCCTGACAGCTGAGCCACCACACCAAGGACAACCAGGACCACTGGAAACCTTTAAAAGTTGAACTTGTGCCTATATTTATCAAAGAAATTTCCAGAATAGAGGTCTGAAGCTAAAGCAGCCAAGGTATGTCTGAGAATGACTTGTAAAGAATTTGATGTAACTTGAGCAATGTTTCTTTGAAAAGTGACTCTCCACCATAAAGACAGTGTAGAAAACCACCTGTCAAGAAGAATTTTAGATCTTTTTTTCTGAAATAAGATATTTAAAGTACATGTGATGAGCGCAAGGAAAAGAGTATTGAAGAAATGTTGAGAATTAGTTGACACATTCCCAACTAATGAAGAAGAATCATAAGGTAAGTCTACTTCATTAAAATAGGGCACGTTTAGAATCCTTATTCTCAGAAAAGTGACTTTATAACAATAATAGAGATGTTCTGCATGACCCAATTACAGAGTCCCTATGGACACATGTGCTCCTGTTTAACAAATTAGTTTGACACTCTGGAGATTATTTTAGATTAGATTGTTAATATAACATTAGATATTTGGGTGGCACGGTGGCTGAGTGGCACTCTCGCTTCTTGGCAAGAAGTTCCTGGGTTCTGATTCCAGTCGGAACAGGGCCTTTCTGATTGAATGAGTTTGTATGTAGCCCAGTCTGCGTGTGTTTTCACAAGAACTTTCCCTTCTACAAAAAACATGTACTCTGTGAAATCCTTCAGCAAGAGAACAGCAAATGATCAACACTTGTCCCCAATGTGACAATTAAGTATCTGTCTCTCTAAGAAACAATATTCCACAATGAGGCAACATTACGGCCAGTGATAGACGTTTGTGAGAACTTTTACAGAGAAATTTGAGATGAGTTTAGGAGTTTGTTTAAGTAAGACTTGTGGTTAGCCATCCTGAGGAACTCCTGCAGAGAGCCATAAGTGCATCTTCAGAGCACACAAATCAATAAAAATACTCAGAGGCTTGAAGGCTGTTTAAGATACCCTCAAGTATTTTATCACATGAAAAAAATACTCATAAATACAAAATAAAAATGTTACCTATTTACCCATCATCTTTTGAAACAAGGGATTAAACTGTAGGCAATCATTTTCACTATTTTACAACAGTGCTTTTGTGTTAAAGTCCCAATTTTACAATCCCATCCACCTGAATATACATAGCATTTGATTGATGAAAGACGTGAATCCACCAGTCAGTTTAAGCAATAACTCTACAACAATAAACATGAATATTACAGTGAAGTGACCCGCCTCTCTGCAGATATGGCCTTTAACCTTGTGTGTATTTATCCAAATTGGATCTGTAATCCGATCATTTTGTTTTGAGTGCTTCTTCTATTCTGACTGTCTGTAATATGTGTCACAATGCACCACAATCTATGAGATCGCAATCTTGACACATCAATTCATTGAAGTTGGACCTACAAAAAGGAACTACGAGCCAATGAGCTTCTTGTTTCTCTTTAGATGTGAATTAATATTATTATAATTATTATTTATTTAATTGTTTTTGTTAAACCAGGATGAAGTGGGAGAAGCTGAAGCCTCCAGAGCCTGACGATCCTATGTGCTGTTGTGAATGTGATCTGTCTCAATGCTGTGACTGTGAAGATCTGGACGAGGCTTTCAACAGGTCAGACTGTGCTGACACACTGGACCTCCAGGTTCATGCTGAAGCTAATAGCGAACAAAAGGAAGGTCTTTTATTTTAACTTAGCTTCATCTACCGGTAAAACTGTAAACACTTGCTATTGTGCATCTTTTTGGAATGAGGACATCATTTCCATTGAGATTCACAAATTAAAACCTTATTATATCTTATTGATAACATGAAGTCATCAGCACTTTTGCATAAAATGAGAATCAGACATTTCTGAATAACACTGTTGCATCAAAATGCGTGCATTAAAATTATGCAGGGATGTGTAAGATATATCTCAGCAATATCTGGTGAATAAACAATAGCCAAAGCAATTTCCAAGTTTGTGACCTCCTGTTACTCACAATGGCAAAAAACCCAAAAACAATCTGAATCTGAATCAGAATCAGAATAATTGTTATTGCCACGTAAGTAACAGGAAGTCACAGACTTGGAAATTGCTTTGGCTCAGTGCAACAGTCAGAGAGAGATAATAATAAATAAAGATCTGATTAGAATGGTACAAACCTGGCCTATAACAACTTACTGAACTTAACTACTTATGATGATGATGGCACAGCATGAGGACTTAAGTTCAAAGTGTATTTGGAGAAGTTTAATATTGGCGTGAATTAGGAGGGTAGCACCAACTGACATGTAGCTTAGGGTAAGATCAACATATGAACAATTTCGAATGGATCTGATTAGAATCTCCTTTCTGTCACCCATGTACAGGTGGATGAAGACCATACCCCTTAAATGTGGTTTCCAGACTCCAGTTTTTTCTGCCATTATTGATCATCTGGAAATCTCCATGATCCCAGCTCTGGTGCTGCTGCCTCTTCTCCTGAGAATTGCAGCACTACATTTTCTGTTGGGTGTTACACTGCTGACAGTTCTGCCAGTCCTTGTGCTCTGGTACTATTACGCCACCCATCAAAAGAAGCGCCGCACCCTCTTCTTCCTCACACTGGCTCTATACTCTCTAGGCTACATGTACTACCTGTTCATCACAGAGATTCTGCCTCGTGGGGATGTGAGCTACATTCAGCTTTGCACGGTCACTACTGGTATGATCCTGACAATTGTCTCCCTAATTAACACCAAAAGAGGCCCCGGATATGTCACCCCAGATCTATATGACACACAGAAAAATGAAAACATAGAAGTTAATGGAACCGTAAAGACTCAAACTCCTTTGAACAGTAACAGAGACAAGTGGCCCCTATGTTCTGTGTGCAAAATAATGAGACCTCCAAGATCTGGGCACTGTCGAACCTGTGGGGCCTGTGTCCAACGCCTTGATCATCACTGCATCTGGTGGGTCATATGCAAAAGCTCAATATAATACTAAAGAGGGAAAAAATTAGATGTATGTACTATAAATGTCGTATTTTCTGTGACTTGATGAGATGCTGCAGGATAAACAGCTGTGTGGGACAAGCCAACCATCGCAGTTTCTTGTTGACCCTCGGCCTGTTTCTGGTGACCTCTGTGTATGGCATGAGCCTGGTGCTATGCAGCATCTGTCCAGGGCAGTCTGTGCTGACTGCCGCCTTCTACTGCCCAGGAGTCTACTCAAGCTTCAGGTAAAAGTGTTGCTCACTTACCATGATGCATTGTTTGAAAGAGCTGATTCTATCATGTCTTTGTGCAAACAGCACAGCTCTGTGCTTCACCTGTGTGTGGTACAGTGCGATCATCACAGCTGGGCTGTTTTACCTGACAGTGGTGCAGCTCCTGAACATCAGCTTCAATGTGACAGAGCGTGAGGCCCTGCTCGCCCTGAGGAGCGGAAAAGGTCACTGGCGGCTGTGTGGACTGGTGCTGGTCACTGGAGACCACTCTCTCGGATTCATCCACAACTGGCTCCAGTTTCTCACCATGGCACAGTCCTCCTCTCCGACCACACAGACAGACTTGGTCTAGTGGACACAATGCAAAACAATGAGGCAGATCCACTTTATTGCATTTTTGGTACTGTAATCATTGTTTTTACACTATCTGCACATGCAAACAAATGTTACTGATTGTATTAGGATTACAATAAAAATGTGTGTTACTTAGTAGTACATTTTTTATGTTTAGATGACTGGCCCTGCATGCGAAAACTATATCACATCAGACCTGTGCAGCTGAGTAGGGCAGAGACTGATGAGTACTGTGATGGGAAACCTCTGGGAACTCTGTAAAGTACCAAACTCTCATTGTCTAATTTAATCTAATTGTATTGTGACCCTGGACACGTCACCCACATTGTCTAGAAAGAGTCTGGTGTGCACCTGAATGGTTGTTGGTGGTCGGAGGGGTTGATGGCACATACTTGTTGCCTCACTTCTGTCAGTGTGTCTCAGGGCAGCTGCGACTACAATAGTAGTTTATCACCGGCGTGTATGGAATAAAGAATAATGTCATGTGAAACATCTTTGAGTGTCCACAAAAGCGCTATATAAAAGAAATGCATTACTTCATCAATAATCAGAAATTATATACAGTACCTATTTATATAAATTGCCTTGACAAATAGACCTAGTAGTATATGGCGCAGGACAGATTCATGCAAACCTAAATATGCTTGGTTTAGGCTGTACTTGTTTTAACTGGCATGGTATTTGGGCCGAAGGATGTACAAGTGATTTATTGTCTTTTGACAAAAACATGATATATTTGAGATACCTGTGGGACAAGATTCCATTGAGGACTAGGCACCAGTGTTGGTAGTAATAGTTACAAATACTTGCTTACTGTAATCAGATTGCATTTTAAGTAACAAAGTTGTATGATGCAATACTTTGATTAGTTATGTGCAAAATTATCTCACAAGAATTAAACAATCAAGCACAGCTCTAACATGGAGCATTTTGAATGTGGATTAAACTCCAGAGCCTGCTGCAGTCAGAAAACAGCGTCTGAAGAGGATTGTGTTTCTTTTACTTGATACATTTTCCCACTAGTTTAGCATTTGTGCTTACCAGGAATACCAATGCAAATAGTGCCATTATAGTATGCAAATATGTACCTTTGTTCATATTGTGTAAAGACTGAATAGTACACTTTTGTTTCATGATGATTTATTGGATATTTTTAATTGACTGTACCCCGCTGTCAAGTCCATTACTCATGAGTGTCATGCATGGGCAGATCCCAGTCCCGTGCTATGAGTGGGCTTGTTTATGCTGGAGGGAAGGAAAGTTCTCCCATATTCTATAAAGACACTCTTCACAAACCTGCACACTTCATCAGAGCTTCTCTTTCTGAAACTAAACCATCACCATGACCTTCCTAACAGCACTGGGTTTAACGTTTTGCTTCCTTTGGACATCTGCAGACGTCCTGCCACAATCAGACTTCAATATTGATGGGGTAAGAGACTATTGGCTTTTCAAATGCAGTATTGTTGTTGGTGTTGCATCTTGAGTCAGTTCAAGCCACCCATTTGATTTGTTTGATTTAATTTCAGGCTAAAAGTCTAAGATCCAAAAAATATGGAATTTTTTAAAACAGAAAAAGTTAAAAAAGATTAAACACATGCTGTGGTTTGATTTGTTGTATTCATATTGGGACAAACTTAAAAGATCAATTTAGAGGGGGAAAAGATTTGGCTTTAATTGGTCAAAAAATGTCATTAGACCAATATGTTCACTGATGCCTGAGGACTTCAATTAAAGATGATTTTTCTATAGATGTCAGGAAAATGGCACCTAACCGGATTTGCAACAAATGCTCCGTGGTTTATTAGGCATAAGGTAACCATGGGGACAGGCACATCGACTTTCACATCGATGGATGGGGACCTGGACATGCCATTTGAAAGCCTCAAGTGAGTAAAGCTGTTCAAGAGAGCATATTTCATGATTTCCATTATAATCAGGCACTAACTGTATGAGCAGCCCTGATGGCTCTTGCTTCAGAATGCACAATTTGGCCAAGAAGACTGATGTCCCTGGAAAATTCACCTATGTGGGTGAGTCAAAGGATGTCATTTGTTTTGATGGAAGAATGCAATGTTGCAGTGTATTGTTTTTGTCAGGTCAGAGCAGTGTGAACAACATGCTCATAGTGGACGTTAAGTATGATGAGTATGCACTCATTTATACAGTCAAGACCATTGGAGATTCTTCTGATGTTGTCGTCAAAGCTTACAGTAAGACAGCCTTTTCTTGTCGACATCACCCTAATAATATCTTAACTTTATTTGTATGTCATTATTTCCTAGGTCGTGCACAAGAGCTCAGCTCAGGGATACAAGAGAAGTTCAAGAAATTTGCCTCTGAGAATGGGGTTCTCCAAGAAAATATTGTCATCTTACCCAAAAATGGTAATGTTACCTGCTAAATATTTAAGATTTTTTGTTTTAAATATTTCCCACACTTTTTGTTTATTTGGCCTTTTCAAGTATGAGTAATTGGAGAATGTAACACTATTCTGTATCCGTTTCCTTAGGTGAATGTCAAACTGAATAATTTCTGAACAAACCCTGAGAACAGTCGCCCTGTGGGACATCAGTTTATAACATCACACTGTAAACTGTAATAAAAAGAAAAGGACAAAATCACGCCAAGTTTTATATTCACTTGCATAGCACATGTAGTTTTAGTGTTTTGTTTGATTTAATCATAAAGGTGCTAGAGATGGCGTTTTTATTTAGTATTTCTGTTATTTACATTGTTCCAACTAAATAAAAGCCAATTTACTACTACTTTAAGATGCCTTCATCAGTTTTATTGTATTGTTGCAAAAACAGTTTAACACAATCAGCGATTTGTGTGTGCTACTAGTTTCATGCACTATACTGTTCAAGACAATTGACATGTAATCACATGTGTAGGTGAATTATGATAAACATAAATGATGGCGTCCTAGACATAGCTTTTCAGTCACTAATTAGCCACGGTAACGCTTTGATAGTATTCCTGGCAACTGCTGATGATGTGTGGGACTACCTGCTAAGCAGAGCAGGGCCTGGTTAGTACTGTGATGATAAACCACTGGGAACAACAGGTGCCAAGTCCTTATACAAGATATTTCACCCACATGCCCGGTATGAGTCTGGTGGTGTCAGCTGTGGCTACAGTAGCTTATTGCTAGAGTATGGAGTGAATGAACAATGCACAAAAAAGTGGTTTAAAAGCTGCTGATGTTTTTTAACAGCACAGGGACATCATTTGTGGAATTGTTTATCTGCAAACACAATAAAGAGTAATTTAGCTAAAAACACTGCGTTTTTATTACTTTTAAACAAGTATGCGGTGGTACATCCATAACAACACAGTTCAGAATCCGCTTCAAGTGTTTACATCTACACGCTCTGTACATGTTGGGATACAAAACAATAATTTACGTCTCATAGAAGTCTAGTTACACGGAAACTATACAAGTAAATGAAATAAATAGAGAACAAAGATGGTCACATGAGAAAATTGAAAAAGCTTTACCAGCACCAGGTAGTGAACTTGCATCTTGAGGCGCGTTTCATTGTTACCAGTAAAAGTACATCAGAAAAACTGCACATCATCTTCAGACACTAAGGCTGCATTCACACTGAACACAAATCAAGCACTGGCAGAGTGATTTATATTAATGTGAATTTTAAATTAAGTAATTTTGATAAAAGAGTCAATGCTGACTTTAAGAGAATCGATATAAAATATGTTATTACAACCGTTTAGGGAAATTGTGGATTGTTCTAAGAGATTTTCATGTACTGCAATAATCCAGTAGGCAAAACCATTAATCAAGAAACTATCAGAAGGGAAACGGGCAAATACACCATTTCAAGTGCTCCTGGAAACAAAATTCAAGACCACCATTTGTAATTTATAGCAAACAGTGCTATTAATGCAAACAATTTGGAATTTGTCATTTTAGGGAAAATGATGAATATAAAAGTAAAAAGTGTATCTACAAAGACATATGCACAATCTGCCATGCAACTGTCACCACAAAAGGGACATGCAGTTTTTAGTGCATGTCCAAGCGAGGGATGGTTTCAAAAGTATGTACAAGACTTACAAGCCTGGGAATGTTAAAGAGTTAAAAAGAAAATGGACTAAGTGCAGTACAAATACACTACACTGTATACTAGTGGATGTTTAACAGAGTGGTGTCCGGGGTGTGATGGCACATGAAAACAGCTGGGGAACAGCATTTCCCTAGTTAGAGTCCCTCTGCATGGGCCACGTCTTTGTGATGACGCAAAATGTGCTGGTTTTTCTCTGAGGGCCGTCTGAAACCTTTAGAGCAGATTTCACAGCGATGAGGATAGTCTTTTGTGTGAATAGAAATGACGTGCCTTTTGAACCCTGAAGCATCCCCCGTGCTGTAGTCACAATACTGGCACTGGTAAATTCTTCTCTCCTTTTGTCCTTTGCCAATCACTACTGTGACACTGCTGGCGAGACTGGCAGCGCTCACCCTGGCCGGTGTCCCAGAGCCACTGGAGCTGCTGGCAGACTTTTTAGGGGAGACTGTTGGAGTGGTTGCTTCTGGTCGCTTAGGTTCAGTCTTTTCAGGAGATGCCTGTTGCTCCTTTGTGTGAACCGACAAGATATGACGACTGAGAATAAAAGGATCTGCTATCTTAAAGTTGCAATGTCGGCACTGATGAATTTTCTTACTACGATGGGCTAGCGAGTGCTTTTTCAGTTCAGATGGTCTGTGGAAGCCTTTCCCACACACTGCACATTTGTGGGGATAGTCTTTTGTGTGGACAGAAATGATATGGCGTTTTAAATCACTGGAATTTGAACTCTTATGATCACAATGCGCACAAAGGTGGGTCTTATTCTCCTCATGCGTCTGTGCATGTTGAATTAGCTCCTCCTCCTCAGAAAAACTCTGAAAACATCGATCACACTTGTAATGCATTTCTTTACTGTGTTTGGTCTTAATGTGAGTCTTGAGGTTTGATGAGTCAGCAGACTTGTAGTCGCAGTATAGGCAGGAGTAGGGCTTCTCACCAGTGTGTGTGCGCATGTGTTTTTTAAGTTCAGATGGGTGACGGAAGCCTTTACCGCACTCCACACAAATGTGTGGGAAGCTTTTACTATGAACAGCCAAAAGGTGGCGATTTAACAACCCCTGCTCCGCTGTTTCATAGTCACAAAACTTGCATTTATGCAGTTTAGAAGGTGTAGGTGGTGCCTGGGTTTTGGGTTCCCTTTGGTGCTGCAGTCTGTGTGAGAACAGCGCGGACTGCTGGTGGAACTCCTTCCCGCACATTTCACACTCAAATGGAGCTTTGCTACTCAGGGCATGTACCTCCATGTGGTTGTGGAGGCTAGCCTTCTTATTAGTTGTGAAATCACAGTCTGTACACTGGTACTTTTTCCTGGTGAGAACATCCTGATGGTGGTTCTTAGTATGTCGTTTAAGGAAACCACGCGACTTGAACTTCTTTCCACAAAGCATACATGGATAGACCGTTAGAGGCTGCCCATATGGTCCAATGATGATGGCTAAACAAAAAATTGACAGGCCAAAGTTAGGGGGAAAGATACGTGTAATGCATGAATACTGACATTTTGTGGTCTAAAAATAAACACAATAGACTCACCTGTCTGCACCTGCCGAGGTTCAGATCTCCTCTTCTTGTTCCTCTGCCTGCCGAGTTCATCAATTCTATCCGACTCATCAATGTGCAGCAGTGCACTAGCAGCCCCGTTACGATTTTCACAACCCTCACCATCATCAGCACCTGAATGAAAGGGATAGTTTAAGGGCTAAGATTTTTTTCCCATTATTTGACCAAATGAAATGCCAAAATACAAATCATGCTGCATCTCTCTTAAGCCACAATGGAAAAAAATATGCATCTTTCGGTACCCAAACTATGAAAACATGTAACCGCACAACAATAATTCACAAATTACCTACCGTGATTTCCTTGATTGTGACGAGAATCTCCAACAGACATGTAAACCATTTTTTCTCTCAGTGGATGTCCAGCGTCAGCTATTGCCATACTCTCATTGTCACTGATGTCTACAGATTCACCTATGGCAAAAAAGTGGTTAAATAAGGTAACATTTTGTAAAATTGACCAATAACATTAAGAGCACATACCCATGTCGTCCTCTCCAGAATCTGCTTTGAAGATATATACTTTGATTACTTCTTGTCCATCCTCATCCTTCTCCACTTCATGATCCTCCACAGCCCCCTCCACTGTCACTTCTGTCCCATCGTCAGACACCATTTTACCAGCTTCATCCACTTAAAAATATAGATAAAAAAGTAAGAAGTACTCCTGTGTGTATGTGTAATTAATACTATTTTTATTATATATATATATATATATATATTTTTTTTTTTAAACAGCTGCACTTACAAGATATCATCAAGTAGTCCCCACAACCGTCCTGGTCCTCGTCCTGCTGCTCTGTGTCCAAGCCGTCCTCTGGGATGTCACTCATGGCTACTCCTTCCTCGTCTCCCTCTAGGGCCATCACACAGGTCTCTACAGCAACATCTTCATCTTCATCGCAGTGTACATACTCAGAAACCACATCCTCAACTGCATCCTGGATGACTAGCTCTTCTGAGGCAAACCTGTGAACCGCCATGCCTTCCCCCTCGCCTTCTGATACCAACACAGTCTCTTGAAGCTCCACAACAAACTGCCCGCCGGCACCACCCTCATCTGCAAGAAGCAGGATTTCCCAGTTAGCCAGTTAACACGCTAATAAATAACATTACGTTATTTTGTATACGTTTTTTCTGACTTTCCCCAAAATAAGAACTATGTAATCATCCACTTTACAACAAAAAACTTACAAACTACTATCGCCTAGCAAATTGGTTATCTGGCTAACAAAAGAGTCCTGCTTCTTGAAATACCCCAACATACAAACTGCTTGGACATAGGCAAACCAAGAAAAACAAACAACATTTCTAAGTGATGTGCCATTAAATATGCACGGCGATTTCTAATTTTCTGTGTAAGCAATCTAAACACTGTAATGTATGTGTTACCCGATTCGTGTAGTATTAACTTAGGCTCTCTGGATTGTATAGAAAGCCTGGTGTCATCCTCATCCATTGTCCTCGCACTGCATTTGTAACTGGAGAGCTGGAAGCAAATTATAGAGAGATTTAGACAATTATTTAAACAATCATAGTAAGTTAAGAATACAGCAGCACATTGTGGAAGGATCATATTTCAGTAATTAAAAAGATTATTAGTAGTCAATGTAAGTGCCAAACCATGTCGAGACTAGTTTGTTGCAAATAAAGCAGAGCAGCGCTACACCCAACATGAAGGATGATGCAGATGTAAACAGAGGTGCTATAACAGCAGCTGGCTATTGATTCATTATAAGCACCATCCCCCATGTTCAGGTAAACAGAGTGCTGTTATAACATAATACAAGTGCATTTAGATGAAGAGAGATGGAAAAGCCTTTGAACAGATACACTGAAGGATATACAGTTAGCCTTATTTACAACATCACAAAGCCAATGGCTAACCACACATCTGCACAGATTCAGGAGGATTAAAATACAGTAATGATATTAGACTGTGCTGTAGAAAAAGTGACCGATGTGCAGAGATGTAGGGATGCATATCATGTCAGTAAATGTGTCAGTCGCAGTCATCCAGGGCTAGGAGGGCGGCACATCTCAAACATTCTCCTCAGTGTCTTTCAGTCACAGCACCATGCGCCATTTTGTTAGCCGCTGCTACCCAACGAAAGCTAATTAACAATGGCAGAAATACGCAACCCACAGTGAGATAAACCATGCCCATGTTATTATTATTGCAGCGTATATAGATGGGCAACATGCACTATGAAGCATAAACAACCACTGAGCCAAAATATGCACGCACGCAAAGCTTGTTAATGCAGACAAGGAGTAAACCGGATAGGCCTGCACGGACTATTATGGCCTACGACTAGGCCTGGGCCCGAGATGAAAAGGCCCAACCCTCTGCGGCCTCTCGAAAAGAATAAAGACCAAACTCCACAGGCAAATATACAAAGGCAAAGATACATGGCTTGATATGAGCGTCAAAGGCCCCGAAACATACGATCTAAGCCGCGTACCAGATTACTGCTGCTGCCGGGAGGGATGGCCTCTCTCCCGCGTCCTTTTCCAGGCCGCTGCTTTCCCCAGACTCGGGCACGGTTCAAACGGGAGACTGTGTTGTTTGGGCGGGCCGCGGAGAAGCAGAGAAGGAGGGGTTATGGGTTTCTCCTGGAGCTCCACTGAAGGCGTCTGGAGGTCTTGTCCTGCTACAGCCCCCCGCTCATCCAGAGCCAAGGCCGCCGTCTGCGCAACACGTCACAGCAGAACAGAGGCAGGACACCGCGGAATAAGTGTGGAGGAGCCCAGGCCATCAGAGCAGACCCTGTATCCCCCACTACCACAGAGCACCACAGAGAACCAAAGCACCTAGGGCCTGTTTATCCACTATTCATGGCCTGGGACTTGTGTGATGCTGTAACCATCTACATCACTGGCCTTCAGTTGTGGAGAAACAGTCTATGGGAGAAACATATGCCTGCTGTGACATAATCTATCTTAATGAAGTGGTCTGGAAGAAGAAAGTGTTATTATATGAAGAAAAATGGATGGACGATTAGACATTCTTGAATTGGAACTTCCATCATAGCCTACCAAGTGGATTAAATAAAACTATAATAACCCAACAACATTGCTATTGCATAACAAATATTATGTTTACAAAAGTTGTCATTAAAGCTTTAGTGACTATGATAACCATTGAAGCTGTCTGACTTTCATAAACAACTATTATCATAATCCTTGACTGGCAAATAATACATCAAATAGTACATTCAAGCTAGGAATAAGTGTGTGTATACATATGGGCGAATGGATTGAAGAATGTATTAACAATTACAAGTACAACATGCATCATGTTAATATGTGCTTAAAATTGTTAATATGCTCTATGCCCAAATCTAAAATATAGTCCCTAATGACAGTCTCAACTTTTGATAACATATTGACACTATAGTTTAGGAAGACTCATCTTGTCTTCTTAATAGATGTAAAAGTACTTTTAATGACATTGTTATTGTTGACAAAAAAGTGCAACAACTATATCCCCTTTATAAGTATATGCACCTAAACCTAAACTGGATGAGAGGTTTGCAGTAAGTTAAGAAGCTTTTACTCAAATGCCTCAAATTACTTTGCATGTGGCAAGACTAAGGGAAAAGTGGCACCTGTTTCCAAATAGCTGTAGCTATTAACAATAGTCATTAACCTCAATAACAATTAAGAAAGTCTATACATCTATACTATATGTATCTATACAGCACATTTAACAGACAGAGCACTCACGAAGCACTTTACAATTCTCCTCTTACTCCACGCAGGAGGCACATGTTGCACTTATTGTACATATTTTTAGTTGTAGGAAAAACCGTAGCACCTGGAGAAAATCTATGCAGACGCGGGGAGAACATGCAAGCTATTTATTTAAGTCATAACAAGGTGTGAATTAGTTCAAAGAACATTTCTGGCCAATTAAATGCCTGTCTTATCCTAATCATCAGAGTATCAAATTTCAACTTGTATTTAGATAATCTACTTTAGTTGCAAAACAACTGTTGCAGTCCGAAAGGATTTGTATTTTCTCCTTTCTTTTGTTTATCTATGTTTATTTTATTCATTGTGTAATAGTGATGAATAATCAAGATTTATTATCCTAGGGAGGCAAACCTTTTTACGTAATAAAGTAATTTAGGGAAATTAATTGATATATTTGAATTGCATAACTGGACATAATTTATCGGTGTGTCCAATTGCCCTACGAGATAAGCATGTGCTTTCTGATAGCTGACCAAAACATGTTTGTTAGATTTAGAACTTTAAATGTTCAACCAGAAACCATTTTCCGCCATTAAATGTATATTCAGATCAAGAACAGATTCTCCAACTATTCATAAGGTTTGGTTTGCCATGCCACCATGTATCCCATTAAAAAATATTGTTTTCAATTGATCATCACTATGGCAACAGCCCTTTTATACTAATCACCAGAAGAGGTCCCTATTTTTTGACAAATGTTCTGTAGTTCTAGCACCCCCTCACACAGATACTATTCATATTTGTTTATCATATAAATGGACAGTGATTGGCATTTTGTTGTCATAAAACTGTTCCCTGTCTAAAGATAACTCTGTTCCAAGGGGAAAGGGTCAGAGAGCCATGCTGTAGATAAAGTTCAAAAACAAGAGCCAGAAGGATGTGTTATTTATTCAAGGTAAAACAAAACTCTTGACAATGTTAAAAATACATGCATCAGAACATTTAAATAGGTCAGTTGATTATATTCTCATTTGATTTTTATTGCCATAAAATCTAACTACTTTACACAAACATTGATTGCTTAATTTCTAAATCCTACTGACATAATCAAGTCAGTTCCCTTTTTATAAAAACAATGCTACATTTTTATTTTGCAGTCATTTTCACCAAGTCCTTTTTCTCTATTGCATAAAGGCGCCAGCCCTCTTCAGAGGATAAGTCAGAGGCTCCTCTGCGCTTGTAAAATTCGATGGACTTTGAATTGTTTTCTGCAACAATAAAGTGCATGCTGCTGCAGCGGGTCTTCACAGCAGTCTGAGGGAAATAAAGTAGGTGAATAAACAGTTATCTTATCGACCACTATTATACAACTTATTTCTTACCTCACTGAGCACCTTGAGGATCTTCGAGCCAATACCAAAGCCTTTAGGAAACAAGTGTTAAAAACAAGTTTGTAATGATATATGAAAAAAGTCACTCTTAACATACCACGGAAATCTTCCATAACATAAAAGTCCTCTAAGTAAAGTAGTTTTCCAATCCAAGGGTCATATGTGAAGTAGTACATGGCAAACGCAACAACACTGTGACCTGGGAAAAGAAACTTTGTTTATACATGGTTGTACACTTTTATGGATCAAATTAGTTTCACAACCATATGTGCTTTGTTGTTCTTTTGGTACTTCTGCAACCAGGCAGTGGTAAAATGGATGATCCCCAAATCCATCTTCAAGTAGATCTGGTTAAGACATACACATAACAATTACATAAGTATTTACTGTGGAAACTTAACATATGTTAAATATGAATACAATAAAACACCTTTTTCAGTCAGCTTGACCTGCTCCTCCATTTCCTCAAATTTGGCAAGTTCCTAAATTTTTAAGAAAGAGGTAGTCACCAGTTTTCACGTGATTAACAAACTCATTGGCTCAGCAAAAAAATAGATAAATTAACAAATAAAGGCGACAAGCCATACACAAAAAACAAATCTGTATTTGTTGTAAGCTTACCTTGATGAGTCGTAAAATATCAGTCACATCATTGGGTTCAGCTTTCCTTAATATAAAATTGGCCATTTTCTCTTTTTCCCTTTGCTTACTAGTCCTCTGAATGTAAAGAAAAGTAGAATTTGTTTCTTCATTCGCTCCTCAGGAGTTTACCCCCGACAAAAGATTGGAAACGATCATACAGAGAAACATCTGCTACAAGGCATAGAATGAGCTCTAGTTCCTTCTACACTTACTTTTAGCGAAGAGAAAGGGGATGTGGTTATGTCCTTATATGGGTGTAACACTATGTAAGTTCCGGAGTAAGTCATGTTTTTCATGTGATCATTAACTAGTGCGAGAACGTAATAAGAACAAATGGTTAAACATCAACGAACCCACGTACATAGACCTACATTCTGTAGATTCACAACAGCTCAATGCAGATTGTAGGTCAAAACTTTCTTTAAAAAGTTTCTTTTAAAAGAAATGAATAATTTCCCATTCTTGTTTACAGAAAACTGACATGACGTATGTTAAACTCATAAAAACCAAACAAACAGGCTTTTTAGAAAACATTTTATTGCACAAAGTGCATGGTAAAGTTTAGTTGGTCTTATCAAAGTATTTTAGCTTCCCTGAAGGGTCTGGTATGATCTGTGAACAAACAATTAACAAATTAGTAGTATTAGATATGTTTTTAAGACACTCAAAAGGACAAGCACTAACCGTGTCGCTGCCAGGTTTCCATCCCGCTGGACACACTGTAAGAAGACACACACATGTTAACCATGCACCTGTGCACTGAAAACAGTCGCTCCATACCTTCTCCGTGTTTATCCGTGTACTGGAAGGCCTGGACTAAGCGAAGAGTCTCATCTACAGAGCGCCCCACTGGGAGGTCATTCATTGTTATTTGTCGCAGTATGCCTTTGCCGTCAATGATGAAAAGTCCCCTTGATAAGAAAAAGCACCCATTTAACTCTATTCACATTCTTAAAAGTGCATGAATACTGAGAGTGCAGACCTTAGTGTGTGTCCTTGATCTTCAAGGTAGACTCCGTAGTCTTTGGATATTTGGTGAGTGAGATCTGACAGCAGAGGAATCTTCATTTGTCCAAGACCACCTTGCTTTCGAGGCGTGTTTATCCTGACATCAAATCAAGTAAAACTGGACTTATCCATGTGTAATGAAAGTATTTACATCTTTACAGCCTTAAAATCTATGGTAAAGCTGGGGTCCATGTCCTCACCAGGCCAAATGAGTGAACTGGGAGTCCACCGAACAGGCAACCACCTCTGTGTTGATGGCTTGAAACTCGTGCACGCGATCACTGAATGCAATGATCTCTGTAGGACACACGAAAGTACTACAAAAGAAACACTGCTCATAATTACTTAATTCAACTACACAAAACAAGGATAAAAATCAGCCACACCACTCACAAATCCAGTGGGTAGAAGAAGAAGACAAGATATTTTCCTTTGTAGTCTGACAACTTCAGCTCTTTGAATTCCCCATTGATAACAGCTGTTCCTTCCCAATGTGGGGCAGGCTTTGAAACTGCAAAATGTAACATTAAAAGATGAACATTTTACTTTTCCTTGTAATTCAATATTTGAAACCATCAACTATTTTGGTAAAGTTTAGCATATCTTCTATAGTCTAGATATTTTCAAAGTGAAAAATATATTTTTTTGTTGATGTTGACCATGTTTGGGAAACTGAGTGTGATCGAGTTCCTGTCAATATTCAACAGCTTCAGTCATCAAAAAGATCATTCCACAGGCCACAATCAACAATATGAAAAACTGTGGTGCAACGAGTGATGATTATTGTGGTCTAACTTGATACGCACTGTTTTTCTGACTTCCCAGAAGAAAAAAAAACAAAAACGGAACATCTTGTGGGCAGTTCAGAGGACACCTGTGCAGTTTTTCATTAGTCAAATACGAATCATAGGATGGATTATTAAGTTTATTCATACATGTATAGCCCATGCTGCTTTTCTGTTTTTTGCCACTGGATGGTGCTGTGGCTCAGGCTCATCATGGCACCTGTTCTGGATATTAGGACACCTGTGTTCCTTTTGATTTTGTGACAGTGTAGGTGGAGGAGCCTTTAATATTTTCCACCGTGTTGTATTGTTGACAGTGTTTTTTCCTTTGAAAATAAATAACAAAGAACTTTAATTTTCTCAGTTTTCTTAAGTTTTTACACGCGTGGGTCAATATCCACCACATTAGGCTGTCGCATGTTTTGGACCATACATTAGTGGAAAATAACCGCGTTGACTACACTTGGACTCTTTCTTTCTCTGGACAATGGATGAGAATACCACACTGCAGAAGCGGGCCCTAAAGCCAACTCTTCGGGCCATGGAGGACTCACTTCAGATTCAGAGGAAAATCAATAACAGAAGAGGTAAGCTAAGTCAACTCACAATGAAGAAGAATGAGTTGCTGCATTTTATGGATAATGACAGTAATATTGATGTGGTGCAGAAGAAGTTCACTCAAGAATTTAACACTGAATTTGCTAACTTCCAAGAGGCAAATAATATGGTCAAAGATCAATATAATGCATTGGGACTTGATGAGAACCAGAAGTATGACCAAGAGAACTGGTATATTCCCAAAGAAGCCGCATTTTATGATTTCATTGAAGAAGTGGACTTTTGGATAAAAGAGGTGGGTAAACGGATGGAAGATTCATCAAAGATGGATGCAATGGTACGGCCCAAAGACAGCGTATCTGAGTCTGGTTCCCGAAGGACAAGATATTCCAGATGCAGCTATGTACATTCCCAAGCTTCCGTGGAACGCCTAAAGGCTGAACTGGAAGAGGCCGCGCTCTCGGCGCAGGCAGCGGTGTTAAAGGAGAGACAGGAGATTGAGTTCCAGGAGATGCGTAAACGGGCTGACAAAGAGGACTTGGAGCTAAAGCTTGCATTGGCCACTACCCAAGCTAAACTGAGGGTTTTGGACATGCATGATGGGTCTGTAGTCGCCGCACCCCAGTCCCCGCAGCCTGTGGTCGCCGCACCTCAGTCCCCGCAGCCTGTGGTCGCCGCACCTCAGTCCCCGCAGCCTGTGGTCGCCGCACCTCAGTCCCCGCAGCCTGTGGTCGCCGCACCTCAGTCCCCACAGCCTGTGGTCGCCGCACCTCAGTCCCCACAGCCTGTGGTCGCCGCACCTCAGTCCCCGCACCTTGTGGTCGCCGCACCTCAGTCCCCGCAGCCTGTGGTCGCCGCACCTCAGTCCCCGCAGCCTGACGCCGCTCCCCAGTTCCGGCCTTCTGTCGCCGCTCCCCAGTTCCGGCCTCCCGACGCCGCACCCCAGTTCCGGCCTCCCGACGCCGCACCCCAGTTCCGGCCTCCCGACGCCGCACCCCAGTTCCGGCCTCCCGACGCCGCACCCCAGTTCCGGCCTCCCGACGCCGCACCCCAGTTCCGGCCTCCCGACGCCGCACCCCAGTTCCGGCCTCCCGACGCCGCACCCCAGTTCCGGCCTCCCGACGCCGCTCCCCAGTTCCGGCCTTCCGACGCCGCCCCCCAGCTCCGGCCTTCCGACGCCGCCCCCCAGCTCCGGCCTTCCGACGCCGCTCCACATTCCCGGCCTTCCGTCACCCCAAGTACACACCAGCTCGCAGGACAGCGCTACAGTGACTCCATAAGCCAGGGTTGCCCCGCTCAAGCTCACAACCATACCGCGGTTGGAGCTCACTGCAGCAACCATGGCAGTCCGCATAGACAGACTTTTGCAGAAGGATTCTGTGTTCTGGTCTGATAGCACGGCAGTGTTGAAATACATAAACAATGAAGCCACACGATTTCGCACTTTCGTAGCCAACAGAGTTGCAGAAATCCTCAGATGTAGTGGGACCCATCAATGGCGACATGTCAGCACACACCTGAATCCCGCTGACTTTGCTTCAAGGGGTCAAAAGGTGGCACAGTTCATAAAGAACATTCCATGGGTTAGAGGACCAGTTTTCCTCTACCTTGGCCACAAAGTCCAACGGGTCTTAGTGTGCTTCCCGTCACAGACCCAGAAATGAAGAAAAATGCCACTGTTAATTCGCTCACCATACAGGGCGAGCCAACAGTGATGGATCAGCTTGTGAATCACTACTCTTCCTGGTTCTGTCTTCGAAGGGCCGTTGCCTGGATCCTAAGGGTGAAGGCCTTCCTCATCAACAAGGCTAAAGGGTCTATCAAGCCACACAAAATGACTACAAGAAGCCAGACGACAAAGTCCTGCAAGCCTTCTCTGACTCTCAAGGACTTGCAAGAGGCAGAATTGGAGATTGTTCGGCACTACCAACAGCAGACTTTTCCAGACGAGCTTTCCGCTCTTGAGAGGGGTGAGAACGTCAAAAGTACCAGCCACATATACAGACTTTGTCCATTTCTTGAAGATGGTCTTCTAAAAGGTGGGTGGTAGGCTTGATAGGGCTGCCATGCCACATGAATGTAAACATCCATCGCTACTGGCTAAAACCCTCAGAGTGACCGAGCTTATCATTGAGGCCATACACAAGAACCTTGGCCACAGTGGACGCAATCATGTATTGTCCCAGCTGCGACAGAAGTATTGGGTGCCTCATGCTCCCTCTGTCATAAGGAGAGTCTTGTCACGATGCACTGCATGTCGACGCCTTCATGGTATCACAGGCCAGCAACAAATGGCAGCTTTGCCCAGAGACAGACTTCTTCCCGATGAGCCGCCATTCACCAGAACTGGTGTGGACTACTTTGGTCCTTTTGAAGTGAAACGTGGAAGGTCAACAGTTAAAAGGTATGGTGTAATCTTCACCTGTTTGACCATACGGGCTGTTCATATTGAAGTTGCTGCCTCATTGGACACTGATTCGTTCATAAACGCTTTGCGGCGATTTATATCAAGACGAGGACAAGTTCAGGAGTTGAGAAGCGACAACGGGACAAACTTTGTTGGGGCTGATCGAGAGCTAAAGAGGTCACTGCAACAATGGAACGACGAAAGGATTCAAGTCACCCTACAACAAAAGGGCATTAACTGGTTGTTTAACACCCCTTCAGCCTCACACCACGGGGGCGTGTGGGAACGCTTAATTCGGTCCATTCGGGGAATCCTTAACGCCACCTTACGGACACAAACCCTGGATGAAGAAGGCCTTCAGACCTTCCTTTGTGAGGCAGAAGCCATTCTTAACAGTCGTCCTATCACTACCCCCACCAACGACCCCAATGACCTGGAGGCCCTAACTCCCAACCACCTCTTGTTGAAAACTCAACCACTGCTACCTCCAGGACTTTTTGAAGGCTTGGACCTCTATGCACGACGCAGGTGGAAACAGGTCCAGTATATGGCCAACTTGTTCTGGAAAAGGTGGATCAGGGAGTACCTACCAGAACTCCAAGTGCGTCAGAAATGGGCCGGGGTTAAAAGGAATTTTTCTGTTGGGGATGTAGTTTTACTGGTGGACGAATCGGCACCCCGTAACTCGTGGGTTATGGGCAGGATCACTCAAACCATACCAGACAGGTTTGGTCTTGTTTGTACCGTAAGGGTAAAGACCAAAACTAGCGATCTTGTCCGACCCATAACAAAGGTGTGTCTGCTGCTAGAGCACCTATAAATGAATTTAAGTTGTTTGTAATTGTTTCATTATTATGAGTAAAAAAAAAAAAAATAAACACTTAGGGGCCGGTGTAACGCCGAGATACACTGTCTTGAAGAGATGCACTGCCTCAGCTGTTTATGATGTAATGCAAACCTGCGCATGCGCGTCTCACGGCAACCGAAGCATACCAAGATGGCGGACCGTGAATTGCTTTAAAAGTTGAAATACGAACGAATTAAGACACGAATGTCACTTTTAATGCAATTTGAGGCGAGATGTTGATGGTTCCGTTTTGTTACATGTGGGTTTTAAGAGTCAAAGTTTTGTGCAAAGTTTAGTTTAAGCAGTCAACTGCGCCTGTGAAACCACAAAGCTAATGTTTTCATAGCAGTCCGCGGCTGCTGACGTAGGCTGATGACGCGTCCTGTGGCCACTCTACACTCTTACACTGGTCTGTCGGGTTGATAATGGAAATAATAAATTTCATTCAATGCATGTATCGTACTGTATTTAATATGATTAACAATAGTGTGTTCAAACAAAATATTTAATTAGATTGATTTTTTTCCCCATTTTCCATTATCAACCCGACAGACCAGTGTAAGAGTGTAGAGTGGCCACAGGACGCTTTTAAACTTTTAAAGCAATTCACGGTCCGCCATCTTGGTATGCTTCGGTTGCCGTGAGACGCGCATGCGCAGGTTTGCATTACATCATAAACAGCTGAGGCAGTGCATCTCTTCAAGACAGTGTATCTCGGCGTTACACCGGAATTGTATAGCCCATGCTGCTTTTCTGTTTTCTGCCACTGGATGGTGCTGTGGCTCAGGCTCATCATGGCACCTGTTCTGGATATTAGGACACCTGTGTTCCTTTTGATTTTGTGACAGTGTAGGTGGAGGAGCCTTTAATATTTTCCACCGTGTTGTATTGTTGACAGTGTTTTTTCCTTTGAAAATAAATAACAAAGAACTTTAATTTTCTCAGTTTTCTTACGTTTTTACACGCGTGGGTCAATATCCACCACATTAGGCTGTCGCATGTTTTGGACCATACAATACAAAAGGCTAAACTTTTTTAGTGATGAACAACCAAAGCAAGCGTGTGGGTGGGGATTCCATAATAGTGAGTCTTCCAACAAGGAGTAATAAAATACCAGAGCATAGTTTTCCGCTCAAAATTTTGCCACCTAGGTGAAGCAGTATATTTCCATTAAGTTGTACATATACATATCAAACCCAATTCATTATTAGTAGTTTGGAAATGTACTGCTAGATGGAGAGCGATCAAGGCAAAACTATAATCCAATTTTTTTGCACCCCATGTCAATAGCCTCACCAAACCCTCTCCCTCTCATGTTTTTATCTGGTTCTTATTGTTAAGATTGACTTTTGTCCACCATGTTCAATACATTTGTTTTCTACTGTTTTTACGACCACTTGAAAAACTTGAATCCAATTTGTTTGGCTTGAGTCAGAATCACAATAATAATTATTCTGCTAAGTGCTATTTCTTTATCCAATTAAAATTCTCTTAATACATGTCTCCATTGTGAGAGGGAGAATTCAAGATTGCCCACTATTGTCAATAAATGTTTTATTGTTTGGGTCTGTCAAAGTAGCTTTTGTTGGGAAGAGGAAATGTTTTCCTTCAATACTCTTTCATTGGTCATTGCCTGACACATCACACCAGTTAATAAACATCAGTGCTGCCTGCCAATACTTCTGTAGAAATGGTATTCTACGTCAGGGGTTCCCAAAGTTTTTAGCCCGCGACCCCCCTCCCTGCTAGGAACACCAGGAGAGGGCGGGGCTGTGACGTCTCGTGTTCCAGTTCCCGTTTCGCCCCTCGTAGATTTCTACAACATCTGGAGGGAGCAGGGATTACTGTCAGACCCGTGGTTGGAGAAAACCATGCGCAGAGGCTACGCACTGCAATTCTCCCGGAAACCACCACCATTCCGAGGCGTACGGGCAGCACGCCTTCAGGTACGGGGGTCATTAGTGGCACTGCAAGCGGAGGTCTCCTCTCTGCTGAGTCGAGGCGCAGCAGTGGAGGTAGACCCACAGGACGCCGCCAGGGGGCTGTACTCCCCTTACTTCTTGGTGCCAAAGAAGTCAGGCGGGGTGCGTCCCATTTTGGATCTGCGCGTTCTGAACGAGTGCATTTCCAAGCGTCAGTTTCGGATGCTGTCCACAAAGCAGCTCCTACAGTGTGTCAGGCAGGGAGACTGGATGTGCTCCATAGACCTGACGGACGCTTATTTTCACGTGGCGATAGTTCCGGAACACAGGAAGTTCCTACGATTCGCAGTGGGAGAAAGGAGCTACGAATACTGCCGTCTCCCATTCGGCTACACACTCGCGCCTCGGACGTTCTCCAAGTGCGTGGAGGCAGCACTGGAGCCGCTCAGACGCGCGGGGGTAAGGATTTTAACCTATATAGCCGATTGGTTAATACTGGCCTCCTCCAGAGAAGTGGCTGTGAGTCACACACACTGGGTCCTGTCCCACATACAGCGTCTGGGGTTTGTGGTGAACAGAGAGAAGAGCAGGCTGCAGCCGGCTCAGCGCTTGATTTATCTCGGCCTGCAGCTGGACTCTGTGAGGTTCAGTGCTGCATTGTCCGAGGACAGACGGAGGAGCATCACCCGTCTGGCAAAGGAGGTGCTGGCGGGTACCAGGGTCCCCGCGCGGCGCCTCAGATCCCTTCCGGGGATGATGGCGGCGGCTCATACTGTGGTACGGTTATGCCTCCTCCACATGAGAATGTTTCAGAGATGGTTCTCACGTCTCAAGCTTCACCCCTCACGGGACGGGGGGAGGCTGATCTGGGTTCCCCAAACTGCAGCATCGGACATCAGGTTTTGGCTCACTCCGGGGTGTCTCTGGTCAGCGCTGTGTCTCACGTGGAGGTGTTCACGGACGCGTCACTCGAAGGGTGGGGCGGGGTCCTCGGTCAGAGCTGCGTAGGAGGCTGCTGGTCGGACTCAGCCCGCCATATCAACCTTCTGGAAATGGAGGCAGTGCACAGGGTGCTGCTGCACTTTGCCCCACAGCTGCAGGGGAGAAATGTGATGGTTCGCTCAGACAACACCACGGTGGTGTCTTATCTGAACAGACAGGGAGGCACCAGATCCCTCGCTCTCCATCGCATGGCGACGGTGATTCTGCTATGGGCAGAACTTCACCTCCCGTCCCTAAGAGCACGCCACGTCCCGGGTGCCCGGAACGTGGGGGCCGACAGGATGTCCAGGGGGGGCCCACTCCAGGACGAGTGGGGCCTGGTCCCGCGGATATCTGCAGAGATCTGGCGGAGGTTCGGCCGTCCAGGGGTCGACCTTTTCGCCAGTGCAGAGAACGCACAGTGCCCGTCCTGGTACGCCTTAAGGGCCGCGGACGAGTCGCCCCTAGGGGCGGACGCCATGGCTCACTACCCATGGCCAGGGGGCCTGCTGTATGCGTTCCCACCAGTTCGTCTCCTGCCGGTCCTGCTGCGGAGGATCGAGCAGGAGGGGAGATCGGTGATCTTGGTGGCTCCGGACAGCCCACATGCCCGGTGGTTTCCCTTCCTGAGGGGCATGTCGTGATGGAGCCTTGGGCCCTCCCAGACGAGCCGGGGGCTTTAGTCCAAGGGGGGGGGGCCCTGTTCTCACGCCCGTTTATCGGCCGCAGGCTCTGGGCTTGGAGGTTGAGAGGCGGAACCTCGTAGACCTGGGTCTTCCTCCGGCGGTGGTGGAGACTATTCAGGGGGCGAGGGCACCGTCCACGGTGAGAGCCTACGACACCAGATGGAGGCTCTTCAGCGTCTGGTGCAGTGCTAGTTCTTGGGATCCCAGGCACTGCCCCTTGGAGGGAGTCCTGGGCTTTCTACAGGAACTCTTTAAAAAAGGGAGGGCTGTCGGTACCCTGGCAGTGTTTGCGGCAGCCATCACCTCGGGTCACGGTGGCTTCGATGGGTTCACGGCCCGTTCTCATCCTTTGGTGAAACGTTTTTTGCGGGGGGCCCACAGGAAGAGGCCCCTGCTTCAGAGAACGCCCCCAGTGTGGGACCTCAGAGTGGTCCTTAGGGGTCTGTCGGGCCCACCCTTTGAACCAGTGTCGGAGGCGAGTCCCGAGTGTGTTGCTTTTAAGACTGCCCTCTTGCTGGCGTTGGCGTCTGCTAAGAGGGCGGGCGATTTGTGTGCGCTCTCCATACATGCGTCTTGTCTGTCCTTTGGAGAGGGGGACGGGCTGGTAGAGTTGTGGCCCAATCCGGCCTTTCTCCCTAAGGTCATTACTTCGGCCTTCAGGTCGAGAGTGATCAGGATTAGGGCTTTCCATCCGCCGCCGCACTCCTCCCCCGAGGAGGAGCGACGGCACCTGCTGTGCCCTGTCAGAATGCTTAGGCGTTACCTGACCTTGACATCTTCCTTCAGACTGGTGGATCAGCTGTTTGTGTGTCTGGGCCCCAAGAACAGAGGCGCCCCGCTGTCGTCTCAACGTCTGGCACACTGGGTCGCTTCGGCTGTACGGATGGCGTATCAAGCTCAGGGCCTGACGCCCCCGGTGGGTTTTAGGGCGCACTCCACGCATGGAGTGGCGGCTTCTACGGCCCTCCTTAGGGGGGCTTCGGTGGAGGACGTTTGCCGTGCGGCTTCTTGGGCTTCGTCCTCTTCCTTTGTCCGGTCTTACCTGTTGGATGTGTCGGACCGGTCGGTGGCTCATTCCGTGCTTGGTGCAGCGGACTGATTGGAATCATGGGTTCTTCGTCTATGAGATTACGGTTTGCCCTTCCGCCCCAGTTTAGGAGCTCTTGGGAGAGGCGTCCTGGGACTACGGGTGACTTTTGGTCGGTGTTACTTGGGGGTGTCCTTGGGAGGAGCGGCCCCGTAACACGCTTGGATTCTTCTCACTGTGTGAGGGTTGCTCAGACGGGGCTCCAATCACTCTTCGCTGGCCTGCTGGGAGTACATGTTCCTGGGGGTCACGTGATATCCCACTAGCGAAGTCCGCTAAGGGACTACGCACCTATTCGTAGAACTTAAGTTACATTAGGTAACTATTAATACTGTTCCAACAAATGCACGCTGAAGAACCTTTAGACACATTTGTGACCAATATCTGATAGGAGTATTTTGTGCGTGTACGAAGCTGCATCTCTAATATAATACAATATATATAGTTATTAGTTATTTATATATATTAACAAAACTTGACGAATGATGCAACTTGTTCTTCAGTAATTCTATCCAATGTAATAGTTTCCTAACAAACAGGTGAAAACAGACATGACATCATTTAACATTGTCCAAACAGATCGACTCTCTACAGAGACAAAGAGGGTATAAATAATAATACTTTACCTAGAAAAAAATGGTACTTGTCAATTTAATATACAGCCTTTGTAAGTTATGCATAAACATGTAATTAAAAATATATCATATGTATTTTACAAACATACAGTCATATGTGACCTGAGACAGGGTGATTATGTGTTGGAGATGTGCCATGCAAGTCATGTGTTAAAGGGGCGGACACTTATCTACTGCTTCTTTATAGTGACGTGTCCTTTGATTTACAAACTTTAGTGGATACTTTAATTCCGTCCATTGAGGAAAATGTGATTTAATTGAATACAGTTGTGTTTGAAACAACTGTGATACAAGTGATACGCCAAAAGGCATGACTCTAATGTCATTTGTAATGAGAATCGACGCTTATATTTGAGGCGGCGTATAGCAGAGTTAAAAAGGAAACGACTGCTCAGTAAATATACTGGGCACATTTACATATATGCTCACTTTTCGCTTTGCTGAGGTGCAGAGAATGGTCAGACACTGGCACACGGAAAGCCTCCCCGGGATAGACGTGTCCTCCCGCGTAGTTGTGGCACTGGGAGTTTTTCGCACTGTCCGCGGCAGAGATGGCTTTGGGGCCGAGGATCAGGAGCGTGCACAGGGCACAGAACAGATCCAGCTTCACGGTCAGCTGCAACACACGCTCCATAGCGATGCTTCGAGCACAGACCATAGCACAGACACGAAAATAGACGCCTCTGGTTTGAAGTGCTTCTTCCGTGGTTTTATCTTCCTCTCATGCATTCGCACAAGAGTCTTTGCAGCCTACTGCCACCTGATGGATATGAAAGGATCCTACTGTTGGCAGTGTCCTATGATGGCCAAAGCCCAACTTCAAAGCATACACACATTATATTGGCATTAAAGATGACAAAATTGAGCAGGTCAAGATAGCTTAAGAGTATTTTATTTCAGTGCTACAGAGTGTACGTTGGTGTAGTCGTTTTTGCACAGGTCATTTCCACTTTCAGTAACAGTCATTTTAATCAATTTGGGTTTATACCTTTAAATGACTCCGTTTTAACGCTCAAGCTTTAACCAAACAGCGTGATGTTAACATGACATTCATGTAAAACTTATTTAATGTTTTCTGTCAGTTGTAGAAATTGACAAGAGTTGTGTGCTGATGTACAGGGGCTTGTATAGGCCAATAAAGAGGTACGAAGAATGCGAAGGTTCCACATGAGCAGATGCACGTTCATTTACAGCATCCAGACCAGAACTTAATCCCCTTTTTATGCCACAAGGTGTAAAAAGAAAAAGGCTAAATGGGATAAGAGTCTTGAAATCATTGAAAAGCCATGAGTCTTAATAATTTACATGTAATTTACAAATTCTGAAAACATGTTTTACAATAAAAACTTGTGCTAGTTAGCAACATCCCAAATTCAATATATTATTCCAAGAATAAAATAAAATAGAGTAGTCATTAGCATTACTTTGAGGGATTTCAGACAGGTATCAAACTGTCTGATGTGCCAGGCGATAGGCAACAGTATATTGTGGGTAGAACTGGACGTCATTACAAAGACTCAATGGCAACATGTGGAAAGAAACATTTAGCTGACAGATTTGAGCTTGGACCAGGGGTTGGTGCCGCGCACCTCAATCTCTGGGTTGTTGTGATAGATGTGATTGCACAGATCCTCCAGAGGAGGCTCAGGATCTGTGGTAGCAAACAATGTGGCATCTTCGATTTCTTTTCTAACTGCAACATCAATTTCCTGCGGACAAAGGACATTGTTTATTTCAAATCAAAGCTGGTACAATATCAATGCAGCATGAGAGACAAAAGATTTACCTTAAGTTCATCTATACTGGCCATGTTGTTGCTCAGCATCCGATCCTTTAGCAGAGAAATGGGATCACTCTTGCTGCGGACCTCTTGAATCTCCTCACGTGTACGGTAACTATAACAAAAAGTGGACATGGTGTTGTTATAAATCCAATGTATAAAAGCCTATGTAATAAAGCCAATTAGGGGCAATATTTTGCAATGTTAAAAACACATTATGATGGCAAAGTTGATACTTTGATAGTAATTAAGAATCTGTTTAAGAGAAGAGGAGGCTATTGTACAGTGGTTTGGGAATCTAGGGGAACATGCAAACTCCAGAGTTCACAGCCCCATACCACCTGGGATTCAAACAATAATGTAATATTTACCTGACTCCGGGATCACTCATGCTGTGTCCATGATAGCGATAGGTCTGCAGTTCCATAAGGACAGGACCCTAATGACAAGTAAAGAAGACTTAGAAAACAGACGGTACTAACCACTTGCAATAAATACACTTCAATGAGCTTCACCTTTCCAGCCCGACAGTGTTCAGCTGCAAACCGTGTTGCTTCACGGACACACAGGATATCCATACCGTCAACCTTAAAGCAGAATATAATTATAATTCATACGATTCACCATTACTCAACACATCTGTTTAAAATGACTTATCATTTACCCTGAGACCAGGAATGAACTCTCCCCTCTTGAAGTAGTCTGTGCTGGCAGCTGCACGCTCTACTGAAGTTCCCATGCCATATCTGTTGTTCTCACAGACAAAAATGACAGGGAGTTTCCAAAGCGCAGCCATGTTGTAGGTTTCAAATATTTGTCCCTATAAAATGTAAAAAGAGAAAAGTTTTTTTTCTGATAATAAAAAACAACACAAAAATCCTATCTGATAATACTACAGAAAGGTAATCCTTTGCTTCATACCTGGTTTGCAGCTCCATCACCATAGAGACAGACACAGAGCTCATTATTGCCTTGATACTTGCAGGCCAAGGCCACTCCTGCTCCCAAAGGAACCTATGATTACATTATTATATTTGGTTAACATTTCAATGTAAATGGAATACTATTCCAATCTTAGCCATTTGTTTCTTTACCTGAGCACCAACAATTCCATTTCCTCCATAGAAATGTTTACAGTACATGTGCATAGAACCCCCCTTTCCCTTTGCAATACCTCCTCTTCTCCCTGTTAAAAGACAAAACAAATAAATTGTAAGCACTTGAGCTAAGAATTACACTGAACAAATTTTCTAAACAGACCTGTTAGTTCTGCCATGATCTCTTTCACAGTCCCCCCTCGGGTGAAGGTGTAACCATGGGCTCGATAAGCAGTAATCAGGTGGTCAGACAAATTAATGGCTGCTTCAATACCAACAGCACAGGCCTCCTAACAACACAAGTGTAACGTTTTTTATCAAAATGAAGAGAAAACTCAGCTCTGATACAACACCCAACAGAAGCTGACGTGCCTGTCCATCGTACAAGTGACAGAAGCCTCTGATGATCTTCTGCTTGTAGAGCTGATCTGCCTTCAGCTCCATACGCCTAATAGTCTGCATGACGCGGTAATAATGCAGCCCCTCGTCCCGGGTCATCACAACTTCAGTGGCAGGGGCCACGTCCAACTTAAACGTGTCACACTTCTACAGACACATTCACGATCAGGCACCATGGCATTTGTTTACACAGTAAATAATAGGATTTACCTTGATTTCAAATGTTGCTTCAGAGGTGAAGTCAGCGTAGGTGCGCGCCGACATGACTGCTGCGACGCCCTACAATTAAATGAAAGTATGAACACCACTGATGTGCGAACAGACATTTAATTTTGGACAAATTGAAGAGTCAAAATAATGCCCTCAAGAAGTGAAATACATGAGATGCCTACATTTTGTGAAATCTGTTGAAAATAATGTAGAATAAACATTGTAAATGTTATTCTATTAAAACCCTTTCACAAACAGTTTGACCATAGACTGTAATTTGACATATTTTAGCTTAGCTGCGTTAGCTAAACAAGCCACCATCGGTTTGCCAAGGTCAGAAAACTGCGACAGTTTCTGAAAGAAGGCCTGCCCTCGTCCTCCTATGTCCCAGTGTTGAGAAGAGCCCCTGGAGTTTCATCATGAGTGGGACTTACATGTCTCTGGGCGCAGGCTCGGAGCACATTGGAGATGTTGGTCAGCATCTTTAGCTTCAGCTTTAGCTGCTGCTCGTCCTCTGCTGACACCCGTACACTTCCGGGTTATCCTCTAAAGCTGCAAACTAGCAAACACCAGCGCCCCCTGCTGGCACCGCTCTGCTTATGACTGCAACACAAACAAAACAATCTTACACGTGGAGATACTGTATCATTTGTCTTGTACACGCAACACAAACAAAACAATCTTACACGTGGAGATACTGTATCATTTGTCTTGTACACGCTCGGTGGGTCAAAAGAGATGCAGTTATCATGTGATGTAATAGGTGCATGTACTATCTCACATGTACTATCTCGCGTATTTTGTGAAGCACACAATCCTTCCTGCAGTACTTTCTTTTTTATGTGTTTGATTTGTGAAGCACTGCGGTGGTGCGTCTTCACAATGAAAAAATAATTTTCTTTACCTTACATCAACGAGCTGAGTCGTAATTTCCTGGTGAATGGACAGAGTGCAGGGGCTCATTACGCAGTGGCACAGTGCGCACGCACAGCTCACATCTGTGGTCGGTGTGAAGTGCGCAGCATCCTCTGCACACACTCCAGCTCGTCTCCATCAATTGCAGTTTATATTGACCTTCGCAGCACACGACTCATTTGTGTCTGGTGTCGCTGGCATTAACCCTACTGCTGTTCTGAAGCTGAGCTGCAGTAGCGTCACCGCAGTGTTGGGGACAGATTTATGTCTACTACGATGGCGAAAACAACTGCATCCTCGAACGCAGGTAAACAGGAAAAACCCGTCTAAATTGATTTTTCACTAAGTGGGATTATTTCAAACAAGCCACCTTATGCCAACCCCGCAGCCATATACATACACGTTGTGATAACGGAATAGGGGTTGATAGGATCATTGGAACATGTGTGTGCATGCTAGCTCTTTGACAGATTGGAAAAACGAAACTAGTCATTTAAATGCTGACCTGGTTGTGACTCTAATGGTTAAAGCTCCTTACCTCGACAAATGAACTACGTCTGATATTCAGCAGTAAGTGAGATATGGGCCAAAGTAGTTCAGTTTATGTAAACAATAAACCAACGATTATGTAAACAATAAACCAACGAAAGACACATACTAAAATGATATATGATGATAAAATAACATTCTGATTTGAAGTAGATTTAAAATGGCTATAATTCCATTCAGTGAACAAAGCTGCCTATTTATTCATATAACATCAGCTAAGTGCAGGATTTCAGACTAGAATAGTCCAATGTCCAACTCTCAACTCAGCGATTTATGAAAAGCTTGTTTCATGTAGCTTTTCATAAATCGCTGTTTTATATGTTGTATCTTGCAGCAATTACTCATAATTAGACAAAGGCAACATTGAAGCAAATCAAAAACGTATATTATGGCACCCCAGCAGTCAAAATTATAGTAATGTAATGTTTATGTTATTGTTATTATTTATCAATCCTTTTTTCTTCATCCCTTCTTTAATTTAATCTTTCTTTATTTCATTTAGATGAGAAGATGACACTGCCCTCAGTCATCCTTGAAAATAATTCACCAACAAATGGTCACAGCTCTCCCACCCGAACTGGCAAAACAAGTAAGTAACACCCTCCCCATGTACCTCCCCATGTGGAACTATATTCATGTTTGACTAATATGGTTTGGTAAGTGTCCAAAAGATTGTTCAAAGTCAAATAGTCTCTCATTGTGCCCTACTTGTTTCTATGGCTATAGTATGACCCTATGAACCATGTCCTTGGCTTGGGGCTTCTTGGCATTTCACACTGCTGTTTAGTAACACTGAGCAGATTGCACTGTCTTGTCTTTTCCCTCTGCTGGTAAAATTCAGTATTACACCACTGCACCGGAATATGTATTGCTGAATCTTCTCCGATTTTCTTTGTGCTTTCAGCGCCATCATACACAGAGAAGAAGACACAAATAAATGGCCATGCGTCTCCATTACATGTTCAAGCAAACAGTAACAAAGCAAGTGAGTTATGATATGTACTTTTGTTTGAATAAAACCTAATATCTTCTTTCATTTATTTATTTTCTGTTCGAATCTATCTCCAGTTTTAGAGGGTTATATGAAGACAGACGACAGAGTGCGTTTAGCCAAAGAAAGGCGTGAAGAAAGAGAGAGAAGTCTTGGTAAGCCTTCTGTTGTTTGACATTTATCTGTATTTCATCCACTTCCCCGGGGCAGACTGTCAGTAATATGGCACCAATGTGCCATGGTATTCCTATCAGGAATATGGTTTTTTTCTATCACTCGGTCAAATGTCCTATACAAAGCTATGGTCTATTTTGAACCTGGGAAATAAGGAACAACTAAATAGTGTACGTCCTAAAACAAACCTATATTCATAACATTTGATATTTGAAATTTGAATTTGATAAATGGACTTTTTATTAGTAAGTAAGATTTATAAAATTATGATGTTTTCTGAGTATTTCCTCACATTGAAAGGATCCTCACATACACTGTTCCCACTCTGAAAATGTGTCATGACAGAGTTCACTGGTTTTTATTTCGCTTCAGAGAATAAAAAGACAGAAGAATTATCAAAACTAGGTCTCTTGTTCTTACATAACTCTCCCTTTGCACAAATATTTCACACTTTACTGGGCATTGAATCGCACAAATACATTTCTAATCCAGATTAAGAAAAGGTATAAATCAGGGTTTAATGAGACAAGCCACATGAGTGAACAATTACTGTATAAACATTTTACCAGATGCCACTGCGATAAAGTGTTGGCTGTGGTACAAATGTGATACTATTATTTTAAAGGAGCTTTACCCGTAGAGCACAATAAAAACCAATGCATTAGTAATATGATAGGCTTTAGTCCAAAAGAGAAATAATATAATAGAATTAGAAAACCACCTCTGAACTATAACTAATCCATACGTGGTGGTGAAATTAACCAACTCTGAGTGTTTCTTGTGATGTTTCAGCGGCCAGAGAGCAGATGATCAAAGAGAAAGAGCGGCGTGCACAGCTGCAGTATGAGCGCACACTGGAGGAGCGCTGTAAGCGTCTGGAGGAGCAGAGGCTGAGGGAGGAGCAGCGTCGAGCCGCAGTGGAAGAGAAAAGGAGGCATCAGCTGGAGGAGGAGAGGGTCAGGCTTTACCCAAGAGTTGTGACCTTAGAATAGTAAACGAGGCAAAGGTCTAGTCGGTGATTCAATGTTGTCTTGATAGTGACTATAAGGTCAAGCTAATACTACTACTAGATATGATCATAATTAAAGCCGCAAGCGGCGTCAAACGGCCCTTGCCCACACCGCACAAAGGAGGTGCCGCCACCCAGCATTAATTGCTCCCGTAGCCATAGAACAATGTGTGTAAAGTTGTAACAAATATGATCAGTTGGTTTGGCTCCCCATGTAAAACTTTGGCTCAATCTGTAGGGGGCGCTAAAGAGTCAATGTAATAATTCACACCTTGACGGGACCTAGGCCCAGAAGTAGAGCAACCGAGACAAATCAGACTTTGTATGTGTAAACAGAAGCACATGTATAATCTGTGAGTGTGTCCAAATATATAGACAGTCTCCATTGGATGACCATGTGACTGATCAAATATCTATGAACAACTATTGATGGTACATGTGTTGAGATGATGTGGAGCGATTTTCAGGCAAATCGATGAAACGGCAGAGGCTGGTTGGATGTTTGTGCGATGTGTACATGTGCCATTGACTTAGTTTTAAAATGAGAACAATGTGTATTTGTCCTTCAGGAGAGACTGGAGGCTCGTATGAAGAGGTCCCTGGAGCGCAGTCTTCAGCTGGAGCAGAGGAGCAGGCGATGGGGCAGAGGATACCTCGGTAAGCCCGGTCCGTCACACACAACCGGAATGCCTCTCTAACTGTCTGCCATTTTCCATCGCTAACAGAATGAAGGATTGTCTTTGCCTTGCCTGGGTTAGTTTGCATGGGCAGGAATAAGGCTGATGGACAGTTACATACAATATAATTTATTGTATGCATTTTTTTGATCAGACCAGAGTAAACATTTTTAATAATCATTATTAATACCCTAATTAAAGTAAACATCTACTACTTAAACAGAATCAATGTAAACATATCTCATTTGAAATGATACAATCGCCTCAGTGCTTTGATTGACGTACCATCCAGCTCTATCTGGATGTTGATTGCGTAGATAAACTGTTGATAATGCTTTGTTTGCTCTGCTCCGCCTGCTGCCTTTAGGTGACTGTGAGAATGCCTCTCTCCCCTCCGCTGCCTCCGCCTTTCCCTCTGGCATTGCCTCCCCTATTCCTGCTGTCAGCGAATCTGGTAAAGTTATGCCCTATGTCCTGCCCCACATGTATCTCCCCTCTATCGCTCAACGCTTGCTTTCCTGTGGATTAGGTGCAGGCAAAGGCATGATATGCTTGTTTGTTATGACTGCATATCTTTTTAATTGGGTTGTTGTGGGGGGTAAACCCACAAAATGTAGACTCATTTATACATTTTATAGAAATCCTCTGGTTTCATGACGTTTGTATCTGGCAACTTCTGAACACGGTTGTATTCAGAAGCATATGCTTAGTTCAATGATCTTCAAACCCTTCAATTGAGTGCATGTTTTGACGACAAAAGTTTTTAAGTAAATAGAGTGATGCCATAGGCTTTGAAATGCAGTCACTCCATACTTACTCTTAGCAAGAAATTGCTTAAAATTATAATTGTTTTTATAAATAATGTTGTTGCAGCGCCCTGTAGCCCACACAGGTCTCCATACCGCATGGACCACAGCAGAGTGGTTCTACAAGGAGGTTCTCAGTCCACTCCAAACACCCCTAAAGTGAGTTCTGCACACATAAAGATTCAATTATTTATTTCATTTTTCACCCTACAGTTGAAAGATGCAGGTACAAAAGTTCAGACAAGACAGGGGAATATATACATCAAACAGATGATAGGAAAAAGGAGAAGAGAAAGCAAAAAGGCAGATATGCTAGAGAGAGATGTAGAAACTGAAAACAAAAAGTTGAAAAGGGAGATGGGGTAGAGGAAGACTATAGCAAGTACTGTCAATGAGGATTTTTTTGTTTGTCTTTTCCCTTGGTGTTGTGTGTTATTGTGTCTGAGGTGCATTAATACTAAAAAAGATCAATACATCAAAGTTATTTTTATGTTTATTTTTTAGAAACAACGTTTGCCAAAGTATATAAATTCTTCTCCGGGTTATGCTTCCCCTTTGAGGAGGTCTGAATCTCCAGCTGCAGTCAAACTCACATCCTCTCATTCACCTAAGTAAGACATGTTAAACAAATGTGTCGTTTTTGGTTGTTATAATATGTTTATTTTGTCTTTTCAGGATTGTGACAAAGATTCGAACCCACTCACCCAACAACTTGCATCAGCACTCTCCAATTAGGCAGAATGCAAACCTCTCAAAGGAGGGGAAGAAAGCAGAAGACATTAGGGGAAAAGGCAATGAACTCAACAAAAGCATCAGTCCTCAAAGAAGAGTCCAATCAGAAAAACACACTTCTGATTCCAAAACTCCAGGTGGGCCTTCTCACTGCGTCAAAGTGAATATGACCGAAAAGTATCACTCTCCTGAAAGACGGAACAAAGGAACCAAGGAGGAGCCAAGCCTCTGTGTCCAAAATGGGAACAAGAAAAAAGGTGAGAACTGTAAGTTTTCATTGTAAAAATTGCTTTATCATAAGTTAATGTTGAGGATCCATAGAGAACAGAGAAGGTTACTTAACAAGTGAAAGAATACAATTGTTTGAGATAGATGTGTATTATGTTGTATATGCAGGAAGTATATTACAAATGTCACTCATTTCACATGTGTATGTGACAATAATAAACTTGAAACTCTATTGTTAAATAATCCTTTGATAGATATTGCCCCATGTACATCTTCCGTCAAAGTGTCTGCACGTACAACAAACGAGGAGGAGGCCACAAGGCTGTTGGCTGAACGTCGACGTCTGGCTCGAGCTCTGAAGGAACACGAGGAAATGAAACAAGCAAGAGTGGAAGAAGAAAGGTGGGCCCTTTCAAAGGGGCACTTTCAATGTATCTTGTCGGGGGTCTTTGCCCCCCACTCAGAGAAAAAATGATGTGATTTGGTCCGGTATACGTTAAAGTTAGTACTCGAGGATCATGATTTTCAACATTTGTACGCTGACTTGCATACTGAAAATTGTAGCATTGATTTGTGACTGCCCCTTTGCGATCACGTAACCTTAACTGTATCATAATGCATGCACAATGTCAAAAGGAGGGCTTGTTCAAGAAATGGTGTTATGAATTTAGGATACTGATGTAGATTTGTTAAAAGCTTATAAAGCTGGGGTACTAAGTTTCAAACCACAAGAAATAAAACTCCATGAAAGTGGAAGAGGAAATTAAATTTTAACGTGCATGAATTTCTGACCTCTGTTACACCTTTAGATCAGCATTTACGGACAGAAAAGTGAAAAAGCCCATTAGCTTCCAGCCCAAAGAGTCAAACTGTGACTTTCAATAGTGACAGACTTCTTACAAGAATGCAAAGGACAACATATTTTTAGTAAGGCAATGGCAACATTATTTTCCTTTTAAAGACTCTTTCTGTTGGGTCAAACAACATGATATTCATTAAAAATACAAGTTAGGAACCTCCACTTTAGAAGTTAATATTGCGTATTTCATGCACCTTTAAATGTTAACCTGTATTTTTTAAATATTTCAATCTGCTTCCTAGGCTGAAAAAGGAACAGCTGAAAAATCCAATCACACAACAACTGGAGGTGAAAATTGAGGCACAAAAAGAGCAGATACAAAATGTTGAAAACCTTGTGCGAAAGAACGAAATGAATAAAGCAAATGGTGAAAAGGAGCCGCTGATACAAAATGGACAAGAGGTAAACATCTAGAAGAATAGTGTGTTTGTTTGCCATCTGATGTGGTTTAGTGAATTTATTGTTTTGATTTGGTTTGTAGGAAAAGCCAATGGTACTGACCCCTGATGAGGCTGGACTGCAACAAGGACGAGATCTACAGAAAATACAAGAAGAGGAGGAGAGACAGCTGCGCAAAAAGGTTAATGAGACTGAAAAATCTAAGTACTGAATGGAAGCATGCTTTCAACGTCATACATGTCTCTTCTATCTGCAGAGAATTGAAGAAATCATGAAGCGAACCCGGAAAGGGGAGGGGGACTTGAAGGTACCTTGAGAGATGTAACTTCTTCTGCCTTGTTCCTTTTCTGCTTATTTTGTAATATATATTTTTAGAATCAGATTTTTGATAAATGTGCTTGTTTTTTTTCCATTGATTCATTAAAATGTGAGCTTTGAGCCTTGAGCTTTGGTGTGACTGTGTTCATGTTTGGAGCAGGTGGAGGAGGGTGCCGGGTCAGAAACAGGTCAGTGGGTCGCTTGCTCTTTGGTCCCATGCTTTTTCCACTGTGCTTAGACTTTAAAACATATTTGGCTCTGCCTTGTTCCTAAGCATGCAGCAGCTTGTGAAGTGTTTATTTATTTCCTTATTAAGGGTTTGAAAAATCATGGCTACAGCATTCTAACCAAATTGAGTTAAATGCACCATACTTTTTTAGTTGTTATTATTATTTTATTGCCTGGTTTCTTTATTTATCCTCTTGGTATCTGCATAGCTCATAATTAGATACAAACAAAGTTTAATTTTGAAAGAACAATATCAGATTAGGTATGGGCAATGTGGCCATCAGGTCTCAGCGACAGTCATTGTTCTGTTTAAATCAGCTTTATTCTCCTACAGTCATATCCCTCTGTCAGGATTTAGCAGACAGAGACGGATCGTGGTGTGCCAAACTCTGGAAGTTTATTTAAGTTTCTCTCAAGTTCCACTGGTTTACTCTGTTTCTTTCCCTCAGACAGAATAAAGGCAGTACACAGTTTATATAGTCATTGTCACGTCACACATCGAAAGACATACGTGTCACAAAGAGACAGTCACATCATAGTCATAACATGGAGTCCTTGTAGAGTCCTTGTACAGTCCTGCACGTAGGCCATCCATCCATCCATCCATTTTCTTCCGCTTTATCCGTTGCCGGGTCGCGGGGGCAGCAGTCTAAGCAGAGACGCCCAGACTTCCCTATCCACACACACCTCCTCCAGCTCGTCCAGGGGGACCCCAAGGCGTTCCCAGGCCAGCTGAGAGACATAGTCTCTCCAGCGTGTCCTGGGTCTTCCCCGGGGCCTCCTCCCGGTGGGACGTGCCCGGAACACCTCCCCAGGAAGGCGTCCAGGAGGCATCCTGAACAGATGCCCGAGCCACCTCAACTGGTTCCTCTCGACGTAGAGAAGCAGCGGCTCTACTCCGAGCTCCTCCCGTGTGACCGAGCTCCTCACCCTATCTCTAAGGGAGCGCCCAGCCACTCTGCGGAGGAAGCTCATTTCGACCGCTTGTATCCGCGATCTCGTTCTTTCGGTCATTACCCAAAGCTCATGACCATAGGTGAGGGAGGGAACGAAGATTGACCGGTAAATCGAGAGCTTCGCCTTTCGGCTCAGCTCCCTCTTTACCACAACGGTCCGATACAGCGACCGCATCACTGCGCACGCTGCACCGATCCGCCTGTCAATCTCACGCTCCATCCTCCCCTCACTCGTGAACAAGACCCCGAGATACTTGAACTCCTCCACTTGAGGAAGGACCTCTCCACCCGCCTGAAGAGGGCAAGGCACCTTTTTCCGGTCGAGCACCATGGCCTCGGATTTGGAGGTGCTGATTCTCATCCCAGCCGCTTCGCACTCGGCTGCAAAACCGTCCCAGTGCATGCTGCAGGTCCTGGTTCGTTGGAGCCAGCAGGACGACATCATCCGCAAAAAGTAGAGATGAAATCCTGTGGTTCCCGAACCGGACCCCCTCCGGCCCCTGGCTGCGCCTAGAAATTCTGTCCATAAATACAGTGAACAGAACCGGTGACAAAGGGCAGCCTTGGCGGAGGCCAACATGCACCGGGAACAGGTCTGACTTACTGCCGGCAATGCGAACACAGCTCTGACTCCGGTCATACAGGGACCGGACGGCCCTCAGCAGAGGACCCCGGACCCCGTACTCCCGGAGGACCCCCCAAAGGACACCCCGGGGAACACGGTCGAACGCCTTCTCCAAATCCACAAAGCACATGTGGACAGGTTGGGCGAACTCCCATGAACCCTCGAGTATCCGATGGAGAGTATAGAGCTGGTCCAGTGTTCCGCGACCGGGACGAAAACCACACTGCTCCCCCTGAATCCGAGATTCGACCATCGGACGTAGCCTCCTCTCCAGTACCTTGGAGTAGACCTTACCGGGGAGGCTGAGGAGTGTGATCCCACGATAATTGGAACACACCCTCCGGTCCCCCTTCTTGTAGAGAGGGACCACCACCCCGGTCTGCCACTCCATTGGCACCGCCCCCGATCGCCACGCGATGTTGCAGAGACGTGTCAGCCAAGACAGTCCTACAACATCCAGAGACTTTAGATAGTCAGGACGGATCTCATCCACTCCCGGCGCCTTGCCACCATGGAGGCTGCCAACCACCTTGGTGACCTCGGCCAGGGAGATGGAAGTATCCGCCCCAACATCCTCAGCCTCTGCCTCCTGGACGGAGGACGTGACGGGGGGATTGAGGAGAACCTCGAAGTATTCCTTCCACCGCCCGACAATATCCCCAGTCGAGGTCAGCAGCCCTCCACCCGCACCATACACGGTGTTGGCAAAGAACTGCTTCCCCCTCCTGAGGCGCCGGACGGTTTGCCAGAACCTCTTTGAGGCCGACCGATAGTCATGCTCCATGGACTCTCCGAACTCCTCCCAGACCCGGGTTTTTGCCTCTACAACAGCCCGGGCCGCGGCACGTTTGGCCTGCCGGTACTGGACAGCTGCCTCAGGAGTCCCACGAACCATCATTGCTCGATAGGACTCCTTCTTCAGCCTGACGGCATTCCTTACTGCCGGTGTCCACCACCGGGTTCGGGGATTGCCGCCGGGACCAGCACCAGAGACCTTGCGACCACAGCTACGAGCCGCCGCATTGGCGATAGAGGAAGAGAACATGGTCCACTCGGACTCGATGTCCCCCTCCTCTGCCGGGACCTGGGAGAAGCTCTCCCGGAGGTGTGAGTTGAAAGTCCGTCTGACAGGGGGCTCAGCAAGACGTTCCCAGCAAACCCTCACTACACGCTTGGGCCTGCCAGGTCTGTCCGGCCTCCTGCCCTGCCAGCGGATCCAACTCACGACCAGGTGATGATCGGTTGACAGCTCCGCCCCTCTCTTCACCCGAGTGTCCGAGACACGCGGTCGAAGGTCAGATGATACGACAACAAAGTCGATCATCGACCTCCGGCCTAGGGTGTCCTGGTGCCACGTGCACTGATGGACACCCTTGTGCTCGAACATGGTGTTCGTGATGGACAAACTGTGACTGGCACAGAAGTCCAACAACTGAACACCGCTCGGGTTCAGATCAGGGGGGCCGTTCTTCCCGATCACCCCTCTCCAAGTGTCACTGGCATTTCCCACATGGGCGTTGAAGTCCCCCAGGAGAATAACGGAGTCCCCGGGCGGTGCACTGTCCAGTACCCCTCCCAAGGACTCCAAGAAGGCCGGGTACTCTGCACTACCGTTAGGCCCGTAGGCCGTCACAACAGTGAGAGACTTGTCCCCCACCCGGAGGCGGAGGGACGCGACCCTCTCATTCACCGGGGAGAACTCCAACACGTGGCGGCTGAGATGGGGGGCAATGAGTATGGCCACCCCAGCTCGCCGCCTCTCCCCGCGGGAAACACCAGAAAAGTGGAGCGTCCAACCCCTCTCAAGGAGTTGGGTTCCAGAGCCCAAGCTGTGTGTGGAGGTGAGGCCGACTATCTCTAGTCGGTATCGCTCAACCTCCCCCACCATCTCGGGCTCCTTCCCCCCCAGTGAGGTGACGTTCCACGTCCCAAGAGCCAGATGTTGGGTGTGTGGACTGGGTCGTCGAGGTCTCCGCCTTCGACTGCTGCCCAGTCCTCTCTGCACCTCGCCACCACGGACCCCTCTGCAGGTGGTGGGCCCACAGGAGGGACTGCCCACGTCATCCCTTCGGGCTGAGCCCGGCCGGGCCCCGTGGGCTAAGGCCCGGCCACCAGGCGCTCGCTTGTGAGCCCCGACCCCAGGCCTGGCTCCAGGGTGGGGCCCCGGCTGCGCCATGCCGGGCGACGTCACGGTTCTCATTGTCGTGCTGTCCATGGTTGGCTTCGGACTGCGCTTCGTCTGACTCGTCACTTGAGACCTGTCTGCCATGGGAGACCCTACCAGGGGCATGAAGCCCCAGACAGCATAGCTCCCAGGATCATCCGAGTGCTCAAACTCCCCCACCACGTTAAGGTGGCAGTCCAAGGGGGACTGCCACGTAGGCCATATTGCTATCTAATACTAACACCTCCTATTACAAGAAGGACCCATGTTTACATTTTGTAACTAAATAACTAAAATCACAGACATTTGTTTGTTTAAACCTAAATTACAAAACATAGTGTAGGATCAAATTATGTTTTTAATATTCAAGAGGATAAAGGGTTGGATATGATAGAGAGCTGTTTGCATTATTTCAGCCCTTTGCATGTGCTATGGAGCAGCCAGATATGGTGCAGAGTCCAAAGCTCTGCTGCTGTCTGACACAATTTACTATAGAAGGTCGCACTGTAAAGTAAAATTAGCTGCTCTTGAAAATGCCCTTGGAAAATCTATTGAGTCTGCCTCACAGGACCAGCTCAGCAGCATGAACCTGTGCCACCCGCTGTTAATTGTAGATGGCCTTGAGTAAAGATGGTCAGGACAAGTGCAATGTGGCCATTTGTTTTGTTTTGTTCTCTACAGGGGAAATACCTGTCAGTGCTGATGATAAGTCGAAGGAAATATCAGACCAAAAACCTGAGCTCCAAAGCAAAAGTGAAAACAAAACAGCTGGTAGCACATTGTTGAAGAAAGAGGTATTGGTCACTCACCAAAAAGAACGCTGCAAAAATGAGAACTCCCTAAATGTCAATATCCAAACTCCGGAAGATACCCAGCAATCGCACCAAACTCCAAAGAGAAATATGCAGCAAGCCAAGCAGAGCAATTTAAATGTTAAAATGACAAACCAAATTAACAAGGAATGCACAAACGGAGCCAAACAGGAAAGCAGTGGAGAGTTGGTGAACCGGGTTGTGAAAAATGGGTCTAAACAAGTGATAGTTGAAGTTCACAGACAGCAAACTGTGCATGTGTCAAAGGCTGAGGTCAATGGAGCATCCCAGAACAACATCACCAAACCCTCCGTGACTACCCTCCTTTTGGGACAGCTAACTCCTCCAGTCATCAAACTTGCCCCCCTGGAAGTGTCCCGCACAAGCTCTGGGGATGAGATTCAGTCCATGGAAGTCAGGTAAGTCAATGTGAGCACTAGAATTAAATGTAATGTGAGGGTTCATCCCATTTGTCTCAGTGCGGCACAGTCATTGCTTTAGCTTGGAATATTTATGCCGTATTTATAACAGTATGGAATAAAACTCATCCAAGTTCCCTCACCAAAGGAATGCTTATTTTTCAAGTTATTGTTTGGACATAAAAAAAACATACTGAAACAATCTACAAATAAATACCATGCTGAAAAGCAAAGCAATACAATTTAATTACCCCAAGCTGATGCCATTCTACCAATACACATACTGTTATTTGTATTATGTTGTGTTTCAGCCCAGTGTCAAAAGAAGAGCTCATCTCAATTCCAGAGTTTTCTCCAGTAAATGACGGTCCAAACGGCGGCTTGAGTAACAGTAAGGCACTTGAAGACTTAATGGATCTGACTGGATCTGTGAACCCACAGCTCTCCCCTCAGCACCATATTGGAGATTGTAACCAAAATGTAATCCGTGGCATGGTCCACCTAGTGACGGATTCAAAATTAGTTAAGAAGTCAACTTCTTCCTCAAACAAACTTACTGTTAAGTAGAATGGACATGCTTGCTTTCCCGCAATGTCCAATCCATTCATATGTAAACCTTTGGACACTGCTGCTTTCTTCATAGGAGATGAGCCATACTGGTTGGTGTTGAAATATCAGCGGCAATGTATAAAATATCACTACATCAAAAAATATATCACGAAATTAGAAAGGAATCTTAGACAATTGTTTAAAGAAGATGAATCATTGCTAGGGAAAGATAACCTTTGTCTTTGTAAGATTTACCTAAAATTCTATTAAAATATTTAGTTTAGTGAAATTAGCCTGTACTTGCACAGCTTTATTAAAGCACTTTAGAAGTTATTAAATTGGTTGCCTTTCAACTAATAATCTGTGTGCATGCATAACTGTAAACTGCTGTACAATGTAGAATGTTGATCATAAATGTGCATGTGGTCTGTAACTTTCTGATTAAATACGTTTTAAAGTAACAGATCTTTAAATAACGCTCATAAGTCAAAAGTATGGCCTCTCTCAGGCACATTATAAGATGGACATTTAAACACCACAACATAGACACTTGATCTTGCATATATGTTTGGATGAAGATCATGATGGCTGATACTGACCCCAATCAGCTAACGATAAAGAATTATGTGTATAGTCCATAGACTGTATATATTAAAGTATAGTCTATCTATGTAATGTTGTCATGACAGCCTTTAAGGTTTATGTATGTTCTCTATCCTCTGGATGAATAAAATTTGTGAAGTGTTTGTCTGCGTTTCTCTTAGCACTGTATAACTGTAGTAAGGTCCAGCCATAATAGATTCATTGATCCAGCAGTGTTTGCAGATCATCACTCTCCATAGACGGTACTTACTCCAGGCCAGTAGGGGACACACGTTAATTTATAATCACAAAGTTGCCACGTCCGCGCTTTGATTATCCGCGACATTGGGTCAATGTTTTTATTTTATTTTACGTTTGTTAAATATTTGTCTTACCAGTTGGGGTTTTTGCATAGAATTCACCCCTTTAAATCTTATAAGATTTTATATGTCGTATAGCCAGTTCACACCAGTTCCCGGTAATGATATTAGCGAACAACCATGGGCTTGAACGCTTACTTTGCTCTGAATGTCTGGCAACCTGGCCAGACACGAGCGGCTGGAGTAGGCAACAGTCAGAAGCAACTGCTCGGCCCTCCAAAATAGTAGTCTTGTGGTGAGTTTTTATATCTGAACTTGATTTGTTGTTGTTGTTGTTGTTGTTAGTCATCGTGGGTAATCAGCCGGTGAATGTTTTCTCCTGAATCTTAACATGAGAAAGTCCAGTCTAGTTTCGGTGAAAAGCAGCGGGGCCTAGCTAACATGTCCTGTAAAATGGAGGCGCGGCCAATGGAATCTAGTTAACGTTACAAGTCAGGTATTGTTCGGTTGAATAAGGATATGTAATCTTCCTGTAATGTTAATACAACCTATATGCTCTTACTACTACCACTGTCTTTGTCGAAGACGTGCTATTTTTGTGTTTCCAAAAATAGACCTGAGAGCTGCTCTAATGCGTCACAGCTCTGGACAACCCGACAGCCAAGAGCAATACCAAATGTGTTTGTAGTTAAAACGACGGGGTGCTTTACCTTTTAAAATACGACTGGCTTGGTTATAATGTAACAAATTACACTTATCTTTGCGCCCTTGATAGTCCTGGGTTTATCTCACATATTTCCAAACTCGCCTGATAACTCCACTGTAAAGACTGTCTGTGTACTGTGATAATGTCTGGTGTTATTGACGCATACATTAGCTACGTCTTTGACCCATTCTTGTATCTTATGATTGTTTTCTTTATCTTTAGCCACTGGAATAGTTTACACTTGCGAAGATGGTGCGACCTCATTTTGACGCACCACGCATAAAACCCAGGTGATGTTGGCACGCAATTGCAATCAAGCCATCACATTTAACATGCAAATTTACATTCTAAAGTTGTTTTTCCGCATTCTGTGTTTAGACCCTACCGAGATGACAATGGTGCAGGATCATCAAGTGACAGTAACTACAGATCCCGAAGAGACAGCCACGACTTCCATGGGAAGCCCCCTCCTCATTGGAAAGACTCTAGAGGAAGAGGGCGACCCTCTATGACGAAGAGGAGCCCATCTATGGGAGAACCCAGAGAATCTCGTTACAACAGCTGGAGGCCATCAAATGAGGATTCATATCACTCTTACCCCGCCAAAACAGAGCCACATCACCAGAGGAGACAGTCACCTTCCAGGTCAAACCGATCCCCCCACGGCCCGCATCGCTCCCGCAGCCCAGGACACAGAGGCCCACCTTTCCACAGTCACCCACCTCATGGTCACAGGTCACCATCACCGAGGCATTTTCACAGCCACCCTGAAGAAAGGAGGCCAGGTCCACCCCCACCCTTCAGGGGTTCGTTCAGAGGAAAGCGACACCCAGCGTTTTCTCACCAAGAGCAGAGGAGTCGAGGACCTCCACCAAACTACAGCCCAAGAGAAAGACCCTATGAGCCGCCACACATGAAGCGATGGAATGGGGCCGGAGCATTTTCTCATTCTTTCAGGGACAAAAGTCCCAGAGAGTTTCATGGCAGAGGTCCAGAGAGGTACACAAGTGATGCTGGGGCTTCAGCTGGGTAACAGTGCTAAGCCCTCAAGTCTTGATTGTTTATTAAAAAAAAAATCTCCCCTGTTCCAACTCATGTTGATAAATTATTAATGGGGGGATGCTCTTCAGAATGTACATCTGCTAATGCATTGGGTCATAACTTAAGAGGGTGGATTAACATAACGGTTAAGATTCCACTTCCCAATTTCATGACAACGGATCTACCAATGTAACCATGTCTGTGTTTGATGGATATGCAGGTGGGCTGAGCAAGACCCTAGACGACAGCGTGGACCAATGGAGAGGCAGCACAGCAGATCCAACAGTAGAGAGCGGGCACAGGCTTCCCATTCTCACCCACCTCCATTCAGACCTCCATCATGGAAAGGAGCATCTCCACACTCTCCCTCTCGCGAGAGGCATATGCCTGTACAGCGCAAGAGGAGGATATCTGAAGACCACCAGCACCCTTCAGAGCATGGCATGATGCACAACGACCAAAAACACCCCAGAAGAGAGAGGCCACAGCTCATGAACATACCCAGACCTCCGGGTCTTAGGCCCTTTGGTCCCAGGCCCTTTGGTCCCAGACCCTTTGTTCCAAGACCATTTGGGGCGAGGCCCTTTGTTCCAAGACCATTTGGGGCGAGGCCCTTTGTTCCAAGACCATTTGGGACCAGGCCTTTTGGGACAAGGCCCTTTGTTCCTAGACCATTTGGGACAAGGCCCTTTGGTGCTCGACCGTTTGGGACAAGGCCATTTGGTGCTCGACCATTGTCTCTCAGGGACAGAAGTTTCCTCATCAAGAGCAAACAAATGAGGGCAGAGTCTCTGATGAAGCTGAAATTGCCACCAGCGTTCAGAACCAGAACCAACGTCAGCTCAGTCCTTGCTTTGAGAAAGAAGAGATTTGAATCCGGCTCAGCACCCTTAAGAAAACCAGTGCAGAGAGAGACGAGCCGCAAACAGTCGCCCACCAAGGCCGAAAGCAATTCAAGCCAGTCCTCCTCTGACTCAAAAGAACAGGTGGAGTCTCGCCGGTCCGTGAACCCACACAGGTACGGTATTTACCTATTAGCTCTGTCTGCAGGGGCTTGATGGTTGAAAGAAATGGAGAATGGAGATTTTTGAGCTTTGTGTGCCACGATGCATCAGTCTGTGAAAGTGCCACTTATCATCGTGTTCCATATATGAATTTTGAATGAAGTGGAATAAGCAGAAGTTAAGTTTGTGAAAAAATGATTGTAAAGAAATCTGAAGTTAATGCCATGTATTGGGATCGTGAGACTTCGCACATGAAGGATGAATTATCCTGCTGAAGGTCACAACGGTTGACTTGGACAATAACAGGAATGATAACTCATATGTTGAGAAAAGATTGAATTTCTTCAGGAGCCTCTTCATTAAACTGAAAACTGAAATCTGTTCTGAAAATCAATCGATCAATGTTTGTTACCGTGCAAACTGGCGCCTGCTGTGATGAATATCAAATGACGACATAATGAAGATGCCAGCCAAAGTCATGGTTCAGAAGACAGATTTCTTTGGTGGTTAAATTCTAAAAGATATTACATAGTATGTAGTTCGACCATATGTTGAGTGAATCCACCATCTTCATAGCACACAAGAACATGCCCCAAGACACAATTCAGAAGAAAAACTGTTACAACATTGCTTTGGAAGTAGCAAGTTAAAGCCAGGAGACATTTTGGAGGACAATCACTGAAAACTGGATTCATACCGATGAATGAAGAAGCTCTTGGATGAAGAATTGCTTAAGCTCAGAGTCTTGTCCATGACTTCTGGCTCCCTTTTTATAAAACGTCTGAGGATATTAATGAAGAGTGCACAGTGATGAGAATGTGCTGTAAAATACTATATTTTACTTTTTATGTAAAGATGGGTTCGCCACTTCTGCCCAGTATGTAGTTTGGTCAAGGCAAGTCTGTGAGGTGTAATGGTGACTGCGTCCCAATAATTGAGAAATTGTCGAGACTAGAAGCCTTCAATCAAACTCAAAGAGATTGCTGACCCCTAGAGAAGGATCTCAAAGTGATTGCTTGAATCATTACATACTTAAATGCAAGATGACATCAAAGAACCCCAGCCAAGGAGAGGGAGAGGTACCCAAAGATCATGTTTTGTTGACATAGGCCGAAATGTACAAACCTGGATGTGGGGAAAATGGAAAGATCAAATACTCACCATCACAGGATTGAGTGTGGCCTTACAAGACAAAACTATTAAAGAAACGGCACTAAAGACCTTTGAAGACATCGACACATACATTTACCTTTTGTGCCCCTGAAGAACATCTGCTATAACAAAATATAATGGAAGAAAGCTCAGGGTCAAATTAAGATAAGAAGCAAAAGGACAGTCGATAGTTTTGTAAGTACCTGAGTATGATGTCTTTATGCCTTCATTCTTAAAGAGTTTGTTCTGATTGTTACTTGCGTTTTGTGTGTTATAACAAAACGTTTTGGTTTTCTTTGTTCAAGAATGGTTAAATGGTCACTGATCGATCAGAAAGTCCTTACCACTGCTGTTAATATTTTCTTCCCAGATCTTCCCCACCAAAGGATGACCTTGTTGTTTTGTCTCATTGGGAATCTGAAGCAGGCTCTTCAAAAGACTTTTCTCCGTCACGGGATCACAATCCTAAAACGGGTTGGTAAAATATTTCAAAATTAAATTGGGGTCAAAATTTCTGCTGTCGAACATTTCCAATTTTGAATCGCAGTAACGTCTTGCTTAACTCACACACACATTTTATTTATTCTAAATGTCCCTTGATTTTGGCTGTGACCTGGATATAGAAATAATTACTGATGGACGTCCAATAATGTGTTTTTTTTAAAGCTGTAATGCTAGTGTCATATGTGTTCGTGTTTACGTCATTGAAAACAAAGCAAAGGAAGGTTTCTCACCCTGTACTTCTGATAAGTACAGATGATGGGTGAGAAACCTTCGTTTGCTTTGACTAATCCCTGTACAGCTAAGTTTGTGTAAGCTCTCGTCATAACTCGTTTAATTGACAGCACAAGTAAAAGTACATGTGCATCTCTTTTGTTGTAGACAGGAGTTCAGGGGCAGACAGGGCATCAACCAGACGATTCAACAAACCACATTTTACCCGATCATTTGATGACCGTAATCGGGTCCATCAGCACAGCAGGCCGGACAAACCTGAAGGCTTCAGAAGGCCATTTACTGCTGGTCGAGGAAGACCTGGTCCACCTATGGTATGTTTCACTGCTATCTGTTCTCTTGATAAAAATATGTACATTAAACTGTAATGTGTTTTGATTCTCTAAGGACCGTTTCCAAAAACCTGCCTTTAGAAAAAGTCTTAGTATCGTGTCCAAATATCGTAATATGAGGGTGATGCGTCAGCGTGGATCATACAGCCGAGGTCCGGATCAGCGATGGTGAACCCCTGTGGTAAGCTCAAGAAGGCTAACATAACTATGCATTCAATAAAAACTTACTATATTTTTCATTTACAGGTCCCTGGACTCTTAGCAGTGATCATATTTTCTACATTTCCTATGTGTACATAAGTGCAAACATGTTTCAGGCTTAACCTTTTAAAGACCATCAAGCCCTTGTTTTATTTTGACAATAACAATACCCTATCCTTCACACTCATTTTTTTATTGATGACATTTGCCTAACGTGTTGGATGGTGTGTTTTCAAGGGTATTCTGTTTATCAAAGTGTATTGTTTTGCATCCACTTCAAATATTTGTGTCAAATGATCTTTATATACTTTGGGCAATGATTTAGTCGTAGTTTTCAACTGTTGTCATTGTGCTATAATACTGATTAGAATAATATAATATGAAAAGAATTTCAACACAATACTTCACTATTTTCATGACTTTTTGAAGAAAGTGTTTGTGTCCATGAGAATAAATTGTCTAAGTGGTTTATTGTATTTCTTTTATTTTTCTAAATGACGTATTTGTGTGAAAAATGAATATTTTCAAATGGTCTTCTTAGGGGTTGTTTTCATAAGGATTATGGGTGTAATTCCATATTAGATTTTTAAGATGACAAGCTTACTATCATTTACTTTTTTTTTTCACTTCCTAAAATACCCTTTATAACGATCACTTTGATAAAGTTGAATGAAGCAGACAACCCCATAGACTGCTGAAAATGATTTTACAGTGGACATTTTTTTTTTTTAACAAATCGTCTTTACAAGTTGACCAAAAAACCCCAAAACAACAAGCAACATATGTGGCAGACACTATCAAATTTAATGATCTGGGAAATATTTTGATTTTCAACGTTTCTTTCAAAACTTTATTTCCCATAAAGTTGGAAGGTAAGAACCTGCCCCCTATCTGAATTAAAAACGCTAATGATCTGATAATTCCGCCAGAACCACAATGTTACGAGGTTGCAGGTACACACTAATGAGAAATAACTAAATACATTTCAAAACAACAGCTGGGTGAACACATTTAACATCTCTAACGAAACGTGCCCTGCATTCGGTTGCAAAGGGCGAACCGCGAACACAAGACCGACGCTAAAGTGTAAGATATTCTCTTTACTTCTCTTGACCAGAATATACCACAAATCCACGAAGACTGTGCCTGAGAGCTGGTTGTTTACAGCGGGACAGAGGATCGTGTGTTTCTTGCAGAAGCGGTTGCGTAGGGGACGTGGAAACACAATCTGTAAACAAAGGCATTCAAACAGGCTGCCCTCCAACAATGTATAAAAATACCTTTCAGAGCGGATTCTTGTCTATTTTGTACAGCATCGGCAGCAGACCTCTTCTCAAATGGGATAAAAAGGTAACTACGTTTGTCTGATTGATTCTTTTTTGATGTTCAATTTATCACACCGTTCTGGTTGTAAGGCCAATGAATATTTCTGATCGTTTTCAGAATGGACTTTAGTAAAAGTTCTTCAGCTTTATTAAAAGTATTTTAATTATTATTTTTATATCTTCTTGTTGATATTGTAAGGTACGAAATGGACACATTAAGAGAATTACAGATAATAACATCAACTCCTTGGTGCTTGAGCTTGAAGGTAACAATGTCAGGTAGGATATGTCTTGTTTTTTTGCTTCAGTCGTGTTCCAGAATATTCTGATATTTAATTGAATGTTTTGTTATCCTTGCAGCACTACTTACATTACATGTCCTGCTGACCCAAACCAGACATTGGGTATCAAGCTCTCATTTTTGGTTATGATCATCAAAAATCTAAATAAATATTTTACCTTCGAAGTTCAGGTACAAACCTACATAACTCTGCAAGCTTGCTTAGAATATATATAGTAGTCCTTTTACCTATTAACAATTTACGATTACTAATCCAAATCTTCTTTTCTAGGTGCTCGATGATCAAAATGTCAGGCGAAGATTCAGGGCAAGTAACTATCAGAGCTCAACACGGGTGAAAACGTTCATCTGCACAATGCCAATGCGGCTGGACGATGGCTGGAACCAGATTCAGTTCAACCTGTCAGACTTCACCAGGAGAGCATACAGCACCAACTACATCGAGACGCTCAGGGTTCAAGTCAGTCCAACACTGTGCCCCAAACTAAAGCTGCAGTACCTAGCTTTTCAGTCTGTTACACAAATACTTTTTGTTTGACCCAACAGGAAGAGTCTTGTCTTAGTAACCGACCACAACATGCTGATCTTGCTTTAAAACACATTTTCTTTTCAAAAAAAGTCAACACGAAGTCCTTTACACTAGATTAAAAACAGTACCATAGTCGGGGATAATTGGCAGAATCAGGGTTGCTACTCTTTTTCACTGAAATAGCTTATTGAAAGAAGCCAAAAATACATTTAAAAAAAACTAGAACTTGAGGGTTAAGCTTTAAATCATATATGTCTTGCATGTTATACTGATATTCTTTTCCTTTTAGATCCATGCCAACTGCCGCATAAGGAGGATATATTTTTCGGATAGACTTTACGCAGAAGATGAGTTACCAACAGAGTATAAACTTTTTGTGCAAGTTCCAAACACAAAGGCAAAGGTAATGCCCTGTTCAACATGTTTTTTGCTAAATTGACTTTAATTCCATTTCTGTGTTTTGCAGCAGTAAAGCCCCACCACCACCTTCATCTTATTTGTGTTTAATAGATGAATGTATCCTCTTGTGTTTCTTTGTGACAATAAAAATAGGCAAGGCAAGGCAAGGCAAGGCAAGTTTATTTGTATAGCACAATTCATACACAAGGCAATTCAAAGTGCTGAACAGAACAAGAAAGCATTAAAATCATAAATAATCACAGTACATTAAAAAAAAGATAAAAATATAAAATCCCTCAGTTGTATGCACAGCTAAACAGAACCGTCTTTAACCTGGTTTTAAACATTGTCAGAGAGGAGGCCAGTCTCACATCTTCAGGAAGACTGTTCCAGATTTTAGCAGCATGAATCTGAAAAGCAGCCTCCCCATGTTTAGTCCTGACTCTGGACACTAACAGGAGTCCAGTCCCTGTGCTCCTCAGAGTCCGGGCTGGTTCGTATGGTACTAACATGTCACTAATATAGTTTGGTGTGAGGCCATGGAGAGATTTGTACACAAGCAGAGCTGTTTTAAAGTCTATTCTCTGAGCCACAGGAAGCCAGTGCAGAGACCTGAGGACCGGACTAATGTGGTCGTACTTCCTGGTTCTAGTCAGGACTCGAGCTGCTGCATTTTGAATGTACTGCAGCTGTTTTACAGCCTGTTTGGACAGACCTGTGAGCAGGCCATTGCAGTAGTCTAACCTACTGGACACAAATTAATGGATAAGAATCTCCAGGTCTGCTTTAGACACTATGTTTTTGATCCTGGCAATGTTTTTTAGATGGTAAAAAGCTGCTGATGTTACTGATTTAATGTGGCTATTAAAATTTAAGTCTAAGTCCAGTATTACCCCTAGATTTCTGACCTTGTTTGAAGGTTTTAGGGAGAGAGACTGTAGGTGACAGATGACGCTCTCTCTTTGTTTCTGGGGACCAAAGACAATCATTTCAGTTTTGTCTGCGTTTAGCTGAAGGAAGTTGTTTTGCATCCACTCACTGATCTGTTGGATACAGTGAAGGAGTGAGTCCACTGGTCCATGTTCTCCTGCAGTCAGAAAATACATTTTTCTGACTAATTAGTTTTTTGTTCATATCCTTAAATTCCATACACAATGGATGATATTTAAGATTCAAAAGTCAATTCTACATCTGCTCAGCAATAAAGAGACATAACGGATATCGTGTAAATAAACTATTATCAGATAAATAGTTTAAGCACACATTGTTGTTCTCTATTCCTTTTTCATAAAAACATACTATTTTGTCTTTTTGTAAGTAGCTTCAGTAATAGTTAGATAATCAAGCAAATTCATGCAAGTACAGGGGTTACAAACCACAAGCACAATGTAAAAATTGCATGACTTGCTTGATATGTTCCACGTTTTACAAATGTCAGAGCTGAAAGGGGCAAGTTCATTAGCTACCTAAAAAACAATTGTGTTGGGGCTCACTTCTCTATAGAGCTTTTCTCTTGACTTACAGTGAAGCACTTTATTCAGCATGGTTATGAGCAGGCAGAGGACCCTCCAGCATAAAAGTTACAGAGTGGCCCTTTAAGCTCTCGTCCTTCACCTGCTCCGTGACTGTGCTAAACATAGCAGCAGCACTTCAGTACAGTCACAGTACAGTCAGCTACAATGGACGGGGTCGAGTTTCTTCACATGGAACTATTTCTTCTCATGAAAGCTGCAAAAACAAGGTAAGCTCCTCATCCCTCATCCTCAGACTGTATAATCTGTTAAGAGGTTTATTGATCACTACAGCTTTAGTCTGTCTGTAGGATAACTAATATTTACAGTCTATGAGGATAACACAGGTTCATGCCAAACAGAAGCAGCTGCATCTAAACTTAGCATCTCCTCATTATGTAATAATAGTAAATGTTATAATGTTGATAGACCCACACCCCAAAGAGAGAACAGACAGTACATACCTACATATACTGTGTTTAAATTTACCACTGTTGCAATGTTATAGTTGCAGTTTTTTTTAAACTGCTCTTTGTGTAGATAAATCCTGTAGTCCTCCACTTGTCTTCATACTGGCTAAGCTGCATGATAACAAAACAACATCAACAAATTTAATCAATTTGAAAGACACTGAAGGAGCCCAGCAGTTTTCTGTCAGAATACTTGGAAGTGTTCAGTCAATTATATTTCACTACTTGCTATAATGTTTTGACACGGTATTTCATTGTACAACAACTGTTTTGTTATGGCCTGAATGTCCTTGGGATAATTTTAACTTCTCAGGCTGCCTCAGGAGACCGCTCACACTCACTGAAACACAAAAATACCTCTTGGCTCCAGCTCCACCTTTATGCAATGCTTTTCTATTTTAAAGTTAAAATAGGAAATCTTGTCTTACAGGCAAATATGGAGAAGGGAAAAGAGGATTTGAGTGAGGAGACATCTTACACTGTGAGTCAAACCATAAAGAAAAAAAAATACTGTTTTGCAATATACAGTATTTTGTACTGTTTATTTCTGACTGTGATCTTTTTTTTTGTTAGTCTGTAGAAGCAACAAAAACAGAGACTTCAGCATCCAACCCAGACGATCCCCTCTCCTCCCTGCTTCCCAAAGCCCTGTCCGCAGTTCTCCATCATAACATCCCCCCTGGACACGGCAGGAACCATCCTACCAGACTGACCAATCAAAACTCAACACCAAACTCCCCAGACCTGAAGCAGCTACAGAACGAGCTCTTAGTCCTGAAGGGGCAGTTCGAGCAGATGAAGGCTCAGCACAAGTATGTTAAAGTGACACTCATAATGGTTTGAAGGACATTACAGAGAACAAAGAGCAGGCTTGACGTTACTGATCCACAAAGGAGGATTAGGACATTGTCAGGAGTACCATTGAATGTTGAGTTTCTGTACTAATATCCTTAAAACATCAGAGTCAGAACGAGATCATTTTTATTGCCATTGTGAGTAACAGGAAGTCACAAACTTTCGTTATTGCTTCGGCTCTCAGTGCAAACAAGTTATAAAAGTATAAATAGAATATGGCATACATAGAAAAATATATACATAACATTTCTTAAAATTATTACTATATACAAGCACACAATAGGTATTTAGTATTGCTGTAAAGTAAATGTACATAACCTAGCCAAAGGTAAATTGTGGTTACATGCATATACAAACAATACATAATTACAAAGGGGTTTTTTTTGCAGTAAAGAAATCAAGCTGCTCATGAACGAGTTGGATGAGGAGAAGAAAATACGCTTGACTCTGCAGGTCTGAGACATAGAACATAAGTTTGTACTGTTTAAGGTAAAGCCACTAATATATGTTTTTATAGATGGAGATCAAACACATAAAGAAGCACATGTCCAAATGAAGAGGAAAGTGAAACCACTGCTTGTTTTTCAATATCATTTCTATCCAAGAAAATAATTCCGATCAGTGGCTGAAGTGGAAGACCTCAGTACTGATAATCACAATTAAGTCTTTTATGCTTCCATTTTGCCTCATTAACTGCTACTGCTGCTTTTAACATTGTTTAATCATTTATTTTTATGTATATCTGTATTTATTGTTGAATAAGTGTATTATATTGAATCCAAAAAAATGACAACTGGAATAAAAGGAATTGTTTGTGGTAATATGTCAATATATAAAATACCTCTGAATAATAATAATAAAAAACTTAAAAATATAAAAATATAAAACTATATTACAAACGTCACATTGCAACAATAATGACACACTGTATGATTGGATTGTCCTGCATTCCAACTGGATTTCCTTTTTGAGATAAAACTCTGATTGGCAAAAGTCCCTTAAAAATTGGTGTCCTCACATGGAAAAGGCCTCACTGTTTTCTTTACGTTTTCCTCCAGAATAAAGTCATACCGACACAGAGGCCTGGATGAGAAACACACACAAATGACTGAGACAAATGACTAGACAACGTTACGAATGGATTTAGGAGATGGACTGTACCTTCGCTTGGTCTCTACGGGTGTCAGCCGCAGCCTCAGGACTCGCAGCTTATAAAGAGGCCTGAACACATTTCCAGTGGTGAAAGTGAGAGAAATTTTGTCCACCGGAGTCTCAATGTCTGAATCGAAATGGACAAACATCCGAGTCTCTGTGAACTTCTTGAACTTTGAGGCTTGACTGAAACATAAATACAGTTGCTGAGGTATGCTTTGTTATATTATTACTAATCATAATTGAAAGTAAATTACAGCTGTTCAAACACACTCCCTGTACAATCTTAAAGGTGTAATTAATCAGACTTTCTTTTGTAGCATCAAGAGTTAGTCCTGCCAAACCTCTTCACTCATTAAAATAGGAAAATTGGATCAACTTACTGATCAGCTGTGGCCACTGCTTCTTTGTTTCCGCTGTGAAGTTTAATGGTGATATATCCAAAACGTACTTCTTTGTTCCATGTCACTACATCAACTGTGTAGGTTGTCACTGGGAAGAGATTAGGTCAAATTTGAAGAAAATGTATTGAAGTTAAAATGCAAATGTTAATTTTACTCACTGCAAAATGGTGATTCTGGGTTTGTTTTGAAGTAGGCTTTAGTTTGGCTCATGTTTAGCAAAGTATCTTTCATTTGAATAACATCATAACCTTAGAAGAATTGATCCACATTATTATGTTATGAAAATTATTTGTAAATAATCACTAAATGCAGCTTGAGACCTTGAAGAATCAACAAACCAAATATGGGGCAGCCAGCCGGCCCAAACTGTCCACAGTTTAAGCACTTTCCATCCAGAAAGTCTCTATAGGAACTGCAGGGATATGCTCGAATAATACAGTCCCGCTTTAAAGACTCCATATAGAGATACACTGACCTCTGGTGGTCACATTTGAAATAGGCTTGTCCTAATAAAATATATAATAAATAAAGTATGTATAAATAATTAACAACAGTGAATAACATACAAGTGCACATACCACCAAAGATGGTTACCGGGCAGCCTGGCTGGTCTGTGCCCCCATTGGCATAAAAGTCTATATGGCCCAAAGGCTGTCTGAAGCCCAGAGCTGGAAACAAAACAATGACATAATGCTACAGTTAGTGTTGGTTATTCATCCAGATATGAATGAATGCTCTCCGATGCAGACTGACCATCTATGTCGGTGTGCAGAGCATCTACAAACTGGGCGTCACTCGGATCAAGTCTATGTTCTGGAGAGGTTCCCGTGAACAGAGGTCCTGCTGGGTCCAGGGCTGTAAATAAACATTTAACATAAATCCCATTTCCTTTGTTATGAATATGCCTTTGTGATGTCATCCTGTTTCCATCATACCCGTTATTCTGCCGATTGAACCATTGAAGTTCTCTCCAACAAAACCTGCGACATGAGCTCCAAGACTGATGCCGATGATGTGAATGGAGTCCAGAGAAACACCATTACTCTGGAAACACATATCACCATCAGACCAAAGTATGTCAACACAGCATGAAGACCAATCTGCACGACCTCACCTGCACCATTTTGAACACCCCCGTGAGATTTTCTCCAGCCTGGAACGTGTTTTCTTTAGCTTTGACATAATTGATATTGGTCGCCCCTTTGTTCCAGTCCACTACTACGAGGTTCATGTCTTTTCTCTCTAGTAGCAGCTTAGTGAGATCGTTGAGCCAGCCTGGAGGAGAGCCAGTGGGACGGTATCCATGGATGATGAAGGTCGTCGGACGGGATGCATTGAAACTAGGTGTGGCGGACAGGTCTGTGTGGGACATCTTCAGCCCACATGACACATTCTCTCTGGTGTAGAGCAGCAGCTTTACTTTGACTCGTGTTCCAAGGAAGGCATGTTTGAAGTCTAAGTCAGTAAACTCGTCACATTCCTGCGCTGTAAACAAAACCATAAAAAATCAGTTAACCTTATAGTTATGCACTTTGGAGTCTTTCACATGGAGTCCGACAATACCAAATATACCATATTCAACAAAACACAAATTCATTATACTTGACAACAATCTTTTTTTTTCAGGCTAGTAAGTTTAGTTTGTCCCAAAGGTCTTGTAAATTTATTTTTTCATCAAACAAATCAGACCACAACAATTGGTTTAATATTTGGCCAATATATACTTGTGAGAAAGAGCCCTAGGAGTCACTTTTTGATACTTTGGATGGAAAGCTCTTTGGCAAAGCAAGACCTATCTGATCTAAAGACAGTGACAGAAGCTACAAATACACCAATGACAAATACATTGCAAAATTAGTGATTAAAAACATAACTGTTTTTAGCGCAAGGAACTAGTAAGATAGATTTTATTACAAAGTTCTGTTATTTGTGTTAACTGCCTCTTTGAAACTCAAAAAAACAAAACCAATTTTGGGTCATAATAACTCCAGTCTTTCCTCATGTTGCTCAAAAGTTTCTTGAGTATTTTCACTTCTGCAAATGCTTCCAGAAACACAAATATACTGTAAAGTCAAGTGCATTGTATATGGAGATAAAGAACTTGTAGTAAACTGAAACTATATGCGTGTAACTATGCGAGGGCCGTATCTTACCTTTTATTTGAACAGTTATCAGCAGCACAGGTGTCAAATATTGCCACAGGAACATGCTCTCTGGAAAGACACGTACAAAATTAAAGAAAAATAAATAAATATTGATGCAAGGAAGAGATGAGAACAATCTTTGTACCATGCCACAACCCAGGTCAACTGTTACAGCAAGATAAACAATACTATAATCTCACAATTCAATATTCTATTCTGTCAATAACATGAAGCTGTGCTAAGTAATAATTACAAGAGCACGTCAGTTTTGTGTAACAATGGTTGCCGTTATATATAATCACTACTAAAACTGAAACAAGGCAAGTATTTGAGCAAGGATATGTCATTCTAACAGGAAAAATGTGGACCTTTTAAGAGATATGGATTTTCAACATCGGATGAATTAGTAACCAACTTTGTGGCACCATGAAACACTATTATTGTTTAAAAAGAATCGTGAAATCATCTTGAACGTTGTATTATCGTGTCTATTATTGTGTCTACTCATTAATAACTTGCCGTGACAACTCCACAAGTAACAACCTTCTGTTAAAGCTGAACGATAAAATGACTTATCTCAAGGGAATCCAAACAATAGAAAAATCACAACAGATCACTTCTGTTAAACCCACATCAGTAAGTGCCTTTGGCTGCTTCTCTGAGCTATAAAGTAAACTTCAACCTTTGCTCTTTGCTAGAGTTTTACAACCTCCTGTTTAGCAGAAGGTACACACGCACAGTCAAGACTAATTACTGACAAAAATGTGAAATGTTGCTCGTACCTGCGCTCCCTGGCTGCTCCTCTGGTAAGTCACAGACCCAGCAGACACTGTGTGGGCTTCATATTTTCTGCTTTTCTTTGGACCAGAGAGGAAGAGGTGTCCTGCTGTCCTCCCGCCCTGCATGTCCTCACAGAGAAAGCCACGCCTCTTTGTCAAGGCACTCACAGGTTATCTCAGCCAAGCCACCGCTGGAACCGGTCTGGCCACTGCCGAGCGTGTAGCTGCGTTTCTCTTGACGGACAGAACATTCCCAGGGAAAGTGAAAGATTAATGCCATTAGCCAAAACCACAAAGAGCCACCTTGTTAAACAACAGTCAGATTTAGAATGGTGTAACCTAATTCTGCTAGTTGTGTTTGAAGTTCTACAAACCTTTTGATTCTGATTCAGAGAAACAATGTCAAAGTTGAGAGTTAGTTTCTGTGGGTGTTGACGTGCATTGAGATCATAAATCATTGCAAAAAAGGTGTGTGAATCTTATCAGTCATAAGATATATGTGATCGGATACTTTAAAGCTGGAGTACCTGAAAAATGAATTGTAATAAAATCCATGAAACTAATTTCTGGTTTTAAACAATTTGATTATAACACTTTTGACCAAATATGTATATTTTGGCCTCTGAAACATCTTTAGAGCAGACAAAATAAAGATAAAGAGAGAATGTAAAAGAAAGCATGTTTTCTAATAAGATAAAGACAGCCAAAATGTTACTTGAACAAGACAAGATTAGTTAAGTTACTATTTTTATGAAGTTTCCTATCCAATGGCTTATATCATTGGTATAAAAAAGGTTTGTTAGGAAACACATCTCAGCCTTAGCCTGAACAAAATGTTGGGCTTCAGATAAGAAGAGAAGAGTGGGAAAATCTTGTATAGTTTATGTGCAGTGGGAATAAAAGCAGTGATATAATGAAAAACAGTAAAAACAACATAACCAACACAAATATATTTAAAAAATATATATACTTAAGGATTACTTTAGGCAGAAGATTAGCAATAAAGATATGAAACTGTTATGTAATTGCTGTGACTATAGATGTACAGTCAGTTATGATACAGGAGTCCACATTATTACTACAGGTGAATTTAACGATGGCTATGAGAGTCTGTATCTTTGTTTAATGAAGGCATTATTTTTGAAAATGCAAGAGAAACACTATTGTATTGAAACAAGGCTGTTGTGAAGAGTCAAAGTGTAATTAACATGACAACAATGACTTCACACAAGCTTTAGGCCACATGATGAAGTCTTTCACATGTCATTCACATAATGGGGAAGGCACATATAAGCTTTTTGCTTCGGCCTTCTCCTTTTGAGGCTTTTTTTTGTCTTTCTTGAATTATTTGTGCATGTTATTGTGTATTGTCAAACTGCTCAAATAAAAATACTACTACTACATAACACATTTATTTCACCTTTATTTAACCAGGAAGTCCCTTGAGATAAAATCTCTTTTACGAGAAATCCCACTAACTGTATTAATAGAAATCATATTTTAGTCTAGCATATATTATATCCATATTTTGAGATTCAAAAAGAAATAAGGGTTTTCTGACTATTCCTGATTTGTCATTAGTTTCCCAAGAATAATCACATCAAAGACTTAACAACAAAAATGTGTTGTCATTGCATTTAGTGCCCTGGATATACATAGTCAATATTGCGCAATGTTTGCCCTTGTTCTATATTATTATATTGAATATTGAAAGGGTTGTTCAAATAGATTTCTAAGAAGTAACAACACAAAGTATTAAGGAAGACACCCTACCACCGACAATATCAATTACAATGACATAATTTCAACATAATTAAAACATGAAAATACTCAGAAAACTACTTGTTTTCTAAGGGTAAAACAGTCTAAAAGGTATTTTGTATTTTTTTGCATGTTTGTTGTAATTCGATTTCTGAAGAAGTGAGTCTCCATTCTCCAACCTATTGATCATCCATGTGTCTGAAGTGAACTTTGGCCACTACACACAGTCGTCACCAGGGTCAGAGGGCTGGCAGCAGTCTGTACACTCGAACAGAGCAGGACGTTCAGCACAGACACTGAGCAGGATGGCGGGCAAGAGACGAGGCCGAAACCACGCTGGAAATCAGCAGCAACAAGGTGCTCAAAGCCAGAGGAAAGTCCCACGGAGGGTAAGTTACTGGACAAATACAACACTTGTAAATGCAATGGCAGGGGGGGGCCTGTGCTGTGATAGAGATAAAGGAGGTCGCAGCCTGTATGAACACTCTTTTCAAATCAACATGACAACCAGGGCACAAGAAGAGGATTTCTTGGATATATATAGTCAGTTGAAAGGTAAAGCTGAATTATCTTGCATACATGTACGTCCACGAAGCCACTGCCAAGCAATTAAGAAGTTATCTCTGTCACTGTAGATAAAGCCTGCATCTGTGTATAATAAACATCTGCAAGAAACACAAAGTCCAGAACAAATTCAAATTGTTTTACAACTATTTGCGGATATTTGCAATGTTGCTGATTGTTGCAGATGTATTTTAAATGTACAACTCATAATTGAAAGTGTCAAGCACTTTGAGTTGCATTTTGTATGAACTGTGCTATACAAAAAGATTGATTGATTATGTATCTTATTTTGATCATAACATAAATCTTGTAATCTGGATTAAATATGTTGTAATGAAGACTTAATAAATGAATGAATAATGTAGGATGCAGGTTGCAAGTCCTGTATGAATACAAGTCCATGCATGTTTAAAGAATGGAAGCACTTTGGGACTCTGGAAATGCCCTGAGGCGTTAATGGGACTGTAAACATGTTCTTTGGAAACATTTTCAAAAATGACAATTTTCTTGGTTCCAGGCGATGAGAGAACCGGCTCCTTTTGCAAAGACAACAGCTCCTGAAGTTGAGGCTGCCACAGACAAACTGACTATTGCCCAAGCGCGGAGGGGCACTCCAGGTTTACAAATATTCATTTCAGTATAGAGGAACAGTTAGCATAAAATGTGTTCATAATGACGGAATATTGTTGTTATTAATTTTCAAATCTGATATGTCAATTATTTTAGCACACCGCCCTGTGCGAGTCTACGCCGATGGCATTTTTGACCTCTTCCACTCTGGTCACGCTCGAGCCCTGATGCAGGCCAAAAATTTGTTCCCTAACACCCACCTGATAGTAGGAGGTATTTTAATCATCTTTTTTATGTGAATAGTTTCAATAGTTCACTGGTTTTGTCATTAGTTTGCAGCGATAAACTCACCCACCAGTATAAAGGATTTACTGTGATGTCAGAGGAGGAACGGTACGATGCCCTCACACACTGCCGCTATGTGGATGAAGTTGTTCGGGATGCTCCCTGGACACTCAGCACAGATTTCCTCAAATTACATAAGGTAAGGGCAGTTAAAATAAGCACATGAAGGGACACACGCTGTTAGATGGAATGTATAACATTGTATGAACAGATTGACTTTGTCGCTCATGATGACATCCCCTACACCTCTGCTGGATCAGAAGATGTTTACAAACACATCAAGGAGGCAGGTGAAGAGGAACTGTTGTGTTGTGATCATAGATCCATGGTTGTGATCCACACCATTTTCTGAAGCAAGTTGACATATGTTTTTAATGTATATGTATAGGTATGTTTGTGGCCACTGAGCGGACAGAGGGCATCTCCACTTCCGATATCATTACAAGGATAGTCCGAAATTATGACCTATATGTACGCCGTAACCTTCAAAGAGGCTACACAGCAAGGGAACTAAATGTTGGCTTCCTGAATGTGAGAACTATTTATGATTTGAAATAATTCATTTTGATTTTCTGTTTAATCCTGTTACTTAAAATATGTTCCTTAAACAGGAAAAAAAATATAGACTTCAGAACCAGGTGGACAAAGTCAAAGAGACAGTGCGCACTGTGGAGGAAAAGTCCAAAAGCTTTGTGTACAAAGTGGAAGAGAAAAGCCATGATCTTATTCACAAATGGGAAGAGAAATCTCGGGAATTTATAAGCAACTTTTTGGAGCTTTTTGGACCTGATGGAGCCTGGGTAACAATAAATCCTATGATATCTTTGGGAGTAGTCTGAGAGTGTGTCACTGTACCTCCTTTATTGTCTTTGTTCAGCATGCTATTCAGGAGAGGAGTGGGCGGATGCTGCAGGCGCTCTCACCGTACTCGTCACCACAGGGATCTCCCAGCAGCAGTCCCACCAGGAGGCGCTCCATCTCCCCAGACTCCTCCTCCTACACCTCTCTCTCCCCCTCTTCCTCTTTCAGTGCACCCTCGTCCCCATCAACCTTCTCTCGGAGAAGGAGAAAAAGATCTTCAGTTAAATCTGCCACGGCCTATGCCAGACATGCACAGTAAGCATGTCTGCAACAAATAAAACAAATACATTTTGTTTGTTTAATTCTAAGCTTAATTATGAATCTAACACAATAAGCCATAAATTGACAATTGATTCTGAAATATTAACCTGAGAATGTCTTGTTTCGTTGTATTTAAATGTAAATGCTTTTATGTAAATTATTGTTATTACAAAGTGCAGACCCAAAAAAAGTTTTACAACTGGCGAGTCCTGATTTTTTCCCCCAGTCTTTAGAGAAAACATTATCAATATAAAATAATAATCGATGATATGACAATGATATTACAGTTACACATTGACATGTTACAAAAGGTGTATGCTGTGGGGGGAGACAGGTTACTGAAGCCTGAAAACTTAATAACAGCATCAAATAATAATCTTATTCACATAATCGACAGATAGTAGCATAGGACTCATTCAGTGCCCAAATTAAACTATACGTTTTTCATCTATAGATTCACAGTTATGATTAAAGGAACCGTACTTATTTGCTCTTTTTTGGTAGTTATCATCCACAGCTGATTACTCTGATGTGTCTCAGGACCGCGGTTAAAGTGGGCCGCATCTTTCACCTCCGAAGTAAAACG